AGAATAAATACTTCACTATTTTCATTCCATGGAGTTGTTAGGTTTACTTCTGAGCACTTATCTATGAAATAGTGATAAAATGAGGAGTTTTCTTATAAGCAAAACTACGCATCTGCATCTAACACTGTTTTTGTCAAATTAAAACAAAATTTTGTAAGTCAGTGTATTGAACCAAAGTGCTGGTCTGAGCTTCATTGCCTGTGCTGGTGTGATGCTTCTGCCCAATCTCTCTCTTCAGCTTTGTTGAATGGGAACCAATCAATTAAAATCACATCTTTAGCTCTGAAATGATGTAGTTGTCCCCACTAATGCTTTTTCCTGGAAGGTTTTTGTTTGTATATGTCCATTTCTCTCTTCCAGCAGGAGAAGCTCCTTGCCTTACTCTCAGTAATAATATCAGTATAAGGTACCTAGCCTACTCTCAGTGGTAGGGTAGAGATTGAGCCAATCTACAGGACAATGCATCTGATAGTTTTCTTTAGTACTGATAGCAAATATAATAATATGAAGATTGCATTTCTAGGAGGTCAGGCCTATAGAATCACATATATCAAGCTCATTAGAGAATATTTAATCCTAACGGATTTTGTATTTACTCAAATTGTGGTAGAAATAATTTCACTGAGAAATCAAAATGCCTCATATATAAATGGATCAGGAAGAGGGAGAAGTTTCAAAAGAAAGATACTGGGAAAAAAAGATTGATCAAATTATATTATGTTATTATGTGCATGTACAAATATGGCATAAGGATTCCTATTATTAGGTATGATGATAATGCATCAATTAAAAATGTTTTAAATGCCTTATACACTGATGGGAATAATTGTGCTCAATAATTCTGTAGCATAAACTGTGGTAGCACTAGAAGACTATGTGTGTCCACAAATAATATTTTACCAAAAAATAATACTGACCGAAAGGGCATAGCATAACATATTTTCTAATTTGCTTCCCTCACTCATCCCTGAGCCTTACTCATCATTTCTTGATTTGTTTATTCGTTCAAGCTTCATTGAGTGTGAACACAGTGCTGGGTGCTGGGGATGAGACACAGCATGAGCCCCCAGGGAACTTACCATCCAAAGGGAAAGATCAAGACAAAAACATGTGGAAGAAAAAAAAAACTTGCAGAATTGATTTCTGGTTCTATAAATATTATCATCATCTAATATTTTAATAATCTTCTTAATGAAGTAAAACTAATTTTGTCTAAGTACTACTTATTGCAAGCCCTTTTTGAATAATGCCTGAAAGGAGAAAGTTACAGAGCATGGGTATAGAATTAAGTTTGTTCACAGTTTAAAAATCTTATCATATGGAGTATATTGGGTGTCTTTTATATTCTAGACACAGTCTACCACCCTCTGGGAGGAATTCTAAGAAAGACATAGTATTTATCTATAAAGAAACTGCATTCTCTTAGGAAAAATCATGCATTCATATATAAAGATCTGACCACATGAAAACAAATAGCATCAGGCATGGAACATGTTTCTAATATGAAATACCAATAAAATATGCTGTAATAACTGGGATAAGGGAGACTCATAATCAGCTGGGATGATCCAGGCAGTGAGACTGAGACTGGATTTGAAGATGACAGGGATTGTTTTTGGCAGAGGGGGACTGATTGAGTGGAAATAGAAGTCAGGTGAGGTTCTAGGATAAGATGTAAGTGGACTTTTTTAAAAAATATGAATGGTCAACAGAGAGGAGGAGTGGGAATGTATATTGGGGATAGATGATGGTTTTTCTCTAGTGCCTTGCTGAGTAGTTCCAACTTTATTTCACAGGCTTTGGGGATCCAGGGTAAGGTAGTGAGCAGAAGCCAGTACTCTAGGTTGTGTTTTGGACCATTCCAGCTTAGTGGTGGTATACTGAATAGATTAGGGGAGTGGAGCTTTCAGAGACCACATATGAAGTGAATACAGTTGACAAAAATAAGGGAGTTGCCAGTACAGGTGACAAAGAAGAACAGATGTGTGAATCACTGGAAGAAAGCACCCCTGGCACTTGACTTCAGTCTTTTTTGCCACAAACCACTGCTGTAATAATGCAGGAAATCAGAGCTAGAAAAGCCTACCACTGCTATTTTTGCCTCTGGAATCAGACACCTGAACTCAAATCCCCAGCTCTTGCACAAACTAATTTTGTGACTTTAAGTAGGTTATGTAACCTCTTCAAGCCAGAGTTTTCTAACAAGTGGGGAGAATGACACATGCCACATAAATGTTGCAAGAATCAATTGAGAATAAGATGGTTACTGCAATGATCATTGCTTAATAAAGGACAGGCAAACAAAACATTGTAGTATTCCTTGAGGGAAGCAAAGCTACTAGGAAGTAGCTGTGTTTTTGGATAGAGTCTGAGGCAAAAGACTCTAGGTTTAATTTTTTCATCTAAACTGACTGTGACCTGTAACTAACCAAGTTTCCTACCCCCATCCCATTTCCCACCCCCCATCCTAACCACAAGGTAACCCCATGAATACTGTGTGTTTCTGGCATTGTGGTGTCTGTCCATGTGTTCTGACTGCTTTGTTTCTTCCTTTCCCCCCACCCCACCAAATAGCATGAACAAAGACATTTTGTTTAGCACCTAAATAATCTGCTTCATTTTTGGCAAAAACAAAACACAGATTAAAAAAAAAAAACAAAACAAAACAAAAAAACCCTGGCCATATGTCTGCTGCCGCCTTCACCAGTCATGTCCTAGGGACTGTGCAAGACATAAAGATGGTCAAGTTTCTCTTGAGTGATTTCCCGGTTTACTATAAATGATAAGATATGTACATACAGAATGAGGAGGCATAGTAGACATGAAATGCAGAGGTGGCTAGAATTCAGTAGGAAAGAGACTGGATTCACCTCCAGGAAGGAGGATCAATATGATGTACAGTCTGGGCAGTTGAGGCTAGGACCTGAAAGTGCAGGAACCAGATTTCCAATGAGCAGAGGAAAAAGAATGTAGAGGTTCTACTTATCTTCTGGGCTTGGGGAGCAAGAAGGGGAAAGAAGGACAATGTATGTTCCATGAAAACCCTAACTACTAGCACTTGGCTCAGATCATCTCACTACATCACTATTTACCAAGGTAAATCATACAGAACACTGAGAAACTGAGTATAGTATTTGCCATAAGGATGTTGTTCCTCTTATTACTTACTTCTTAAAATGACACTCAAGAGATATTGTTTTTCAGTTCTTAGTTATGGCTATTTTAAATGTATGAACACTAATTCTATCCATGACCAGTTTTTAATTTTTTTCCACATTTCCTGCTAGATAACTTAGCTCAAGTTTGTGTCTTCCTATTACAGCAACAGAGGACTCCTGTAATGTGTCTTTTTGTCCAAATTCTAGTTCTTTTGTTAATTTCCTCCTCTGTTCCCTGCCATTCCCCTCTTATCTCTTTCCCCCACTTTCCTCCATGCAATCAGGCTGTATTTGATATTTGTCTATTTCATCTGTTATAATTCCTTTCTGAAACAATTAGAAAGGTGATGAAAGGAAGAATGTCTTCCTTAAGAGTTCAGCCTTAGCTAGTCCCAGAGATAGTGGGACTGTAATCCCATTTACTCTGAAGGCTAAGGCAGGAGGATTCTAAATTTGAGACCACTAATCCCATTTACTCTGTAATCCCATTTACTCTGAAGGCTGAAGCAGGAGAATTCTAAATTTAAGACCAGATTCAACAATGTAGCAAGACCTGTTTCAAAGTAAAAAATAAAAAGGATGGAGCGCAGTGGGGGACATGTAATTCAGTGATACAGTGCTTGCCTAGTATGTGGGAGGTTATGGATTCTGTTCCCAGTAACGTCGTGTATACACACGCACACACATACATACATACACACACGTGCGTGTGCACAAACAAATTCAGTCTTTTCCTTTCCTGGAACTAACTGTATAAAAATCGTGCTTGATTTAGAGGTAAGGAAAGGAAGTGAGGCTGCAGGCACATATAGCCCACAAATTTAGTGACAGTAATCTTGGGTACATTTCCATTGCCTTGCAACAAATTGCTCCCCTCCTGGGCCTTCAATTCTGGGGAATGCCAACTCCTTAGGTATTTTCCAAGCTCTTTACTATTGATGTCACTGAGAGAACTGGTGGTGTTTAACAGTGATTTCAGCCAATAATGACTTCATCTCTTATGCCCAAGGCAAAGCCACTGGAGCAGACAGAACAGGTTGTTTTTCTTCCCCTCAGGGGTCTCTTTGACCCTCTTTTTCCCTTCTTACTCAGAGTGGAGGGAGTGGTGCTCTGGAAGGAGCCTGTTCAACTCACCTTCCTCCTTCTCTCTGGCCTTACTCTCACTCAGGGCTGCCCTATTTCTGGGATGGGAATTAGTCTAGAGAATCCTCCTCATTTCTCCACACTAGCTCCAAGCATCAACTCTCCCACCATCTTCTCCATGCTCTATTTCTCTTTATTTCTTTGTATTTGAATAAGCACTCACCTGGCCAGCTTGGATAAGTGAGTGGAAAGGGCCCAGTAAGTTGCCCAAACCCACCAGCTTTTCTGCACAGCTTCTCTGACTTTCTCTTTTCTGTCCCTTTTCTGAGTGGCTTGTCTCATCGGATCCTTTTCTTTGGTGCATTGCTATTCTGGCCTTGCCTTATGGAATCCAGCCACAAATGTTGCGGCTTTATTTTAGCAATGAAATCAATTGCTCATTTTCTAGCCTGTGACTAACTCTTAGCTTCTAATTTTGAGATAAGTGAGTTCATTTCTACAGATTTAACTTGTGAAACTTCTGCATACTGTGATAAAAGTTTCATGTTTTCTGGATATTTTTGTCTTCTCTCATGCTTTCCTTTCATTTATGTGCCACCATTACCTTTGCCTCAGTCCCAGGTCCCTTTCCCTGCCTGGTGGTTTGATTTTACAAACTTCCTCTCCTATCCTACCTTAATAGCTTTTGACTCAAAAGGCAAGATGTATGCTTCCTGAAAGGGTGAGGATTTGTTGTCTGAATTACTAATTCTTTTGCAGTCCCAGTGTGGTGAATCCAGCTTCTACTGTAATTGATATGTCCCAGGAGAACACAAAGAAATCAACTGGATCTCCAGCTAAGGTAGACTCAGCCCAGTGTCCAAAAACCTCAATTTTGGTGGGAATGCCTTTTTTTTTTTTTTTAATTCTATCAAAGTACCATGAAATAAAGACAACTTTGTAGTACTTTTCTTTTTGTACAAGATATATGTAATTTTTACTGTTTACTGTAAGAAATTACTTGCAGTGGATAAGTTGATGAATACTATGTTTTTTTGCAGAAGACCCAGATTTTTTTGTCCCAGCAAGTAAAAAGTCTGAAGCTATTTGATGCTGTTTGTTTTAGGCATATGGAATGTGGCTTATTAGTTCTACTTCAGGCCTTATTTTTAATGATAGCTTCCTGAATCTGTAAGAGTTTTAATCCTGGGAGGAAATTGCCAATTTGTGAAACTGTAGATAGTAAACATTGATATTTATTCAGTTTTATATTAATTATGAAAATATCGATTTACTAATACCTTTTCTGTCATTAGAACTGAACATAACTATGAGTGAAACACTTCAAGGTAACTAAAGCATCTTCTAAATCTTTAGGAAAGGTTAATCGCCATTGTTTTTCCTACCTTTTGGTAGAAAGAGCACTGGTGGGAATCTGAGCTGTTTGCAGATCCAGGTTTGCTTTAACCTTGACTAATCTTTGATATATCCAGGGCCATGTTTTCTCACCTTATAAAATGTGGTATTTTGATTTGAATGCCCATTTCTGATCCTTTATTTTTGGTCTGGTATGTATGATAATTCTGCACTAACCAGATAATCAACTTCCCCCCAGCCCCCCAAAAATGCCAGATAATAAAATTGTCTGAATAAAACTATCAAATATTAGAGATGATAAGCATTTGCTAACACTGAGTTGCTGCTATGGTATTTAAACTAAGTTTAATAAACAACATTTTTTTTCCAGCAAAGGAAGAATCCATTTAATAGCTCTAAGTTGCCAGAAGATCACTTATCACCACAAACCCAAAATGAGCAGTCAAAAAATGGAAGAGCTGGTTTATTTCAGATTTCAAAAGAGGGTAAATATTATTTTTATGGACAAGATATTTTTATCTTTACTATCTGAATTAAGGGAAATTCTCAGAGTTCCTTTCACTAAAATAACTTCCCAGAGAAAGTAAAAAGAACTGATGGTTTTCTTATTCCACTATGCCTATTGGTTTCCTCTCTGGGGGAGAGGAAGCAGTTTTAGAAACTGGAAGTTTCTGCATTCCAGTGGTGGAGCTGCTGCTGCTTATGTGACCTCCATGCCTTGGGGGGTTCCCTCATCAGTGAACCAGGAAATTTGACAAAGAGCATTTAGTCTTTAACCTAAAAGTATTTGTTGATGCCTACCATGTGCTGACAGTTGTCTATTTAAAGAGGTTACCTTATTGAAATGCTTTTCAGTGTCATATATAACAAATTAGAATAATAATAATAATAAAAGGCCACTTGGCAATGTTATGATCTTTTAATCTGCAATTATCAGCCCAGGTGCCCAGGAACATTTGATCAAGTTTGCGAGTTAATTGATTGAAGCCTGTCTTTTACAGAATTTTGCTGTTCTTATATACCATTAAAAGGAAATACCAGATAATTCAATCTCTTCAAAAGCAGCTATAGGAATTAAAGATTAGTCAGGGGATAGAAAATTAACAAATGAACAGTGGAACTAGGGGTGTCAATTATCCTGTTTTAATATTAGTATATTTTTTCCATGAGGTATACTTTATAGTACATAAACTATTTTGTAGAAAAAAAAATCACTGGAACTTGTTACTTGTTTGTTTTTTAACTTTTGGACAAAATATTTTTTGTTTTAGGTGTCAGGATTTTTTTTAATAAAAGATTTTTTTTTAGTTGTATATGGACATAATACGTTTGTTTATTTTTTTATGTGGTGCTCAGGATCAAACCCAGTACCTCACACATGCTAGGCAGGCATTCTACCACTGAGCCCCAGCCCCAGCCCCAGGATTTTCTTTATTTTTAAATACAAGTTACATTTTCTGATTTTAAAACAAGAATTTTTAAAGTGATTTCTATGTTTTTCTGTAAGGCTCCTTTGAGAAATTGTCTTTTTTTTTAAACTTTATATTAAATATAAAATACCATAAAGTATGTAAAGCACAGCAATTTAAATATGCAGTCTATCTACAATGCAATGAACTTCATCAGTTTGGTTTTTTTTTTTAAGAGAGAGAGAATTTTTTAATATTTATTTTTCAGTTCTTGGCGGACACAACATCTTTGATGTGGTGCTGAGGATCGAACCCGGGCTGCATGCAGGCCAGGCGAGCGGGCTACCGCTTGAGCCACATCCCCAGCCCAACTTTATCAGTTTTTAAATAGACTTTTGCTTTTTAGAGGAGTTTTAAAACAGTATTGAGCTGAAGGTACACATATTACCCATGTATACTCTATCTCTCCTGTTATTAACATTCCCCATCACAATGGTAGTTTTTTTGTAACTGATAAACTACTTTGAGGCATTATTTTCACCCAAAGTTGATAGTTTACACATTGAGGATCACTGTTTGTGTAGTATACCCTATGGGCTTGGACAAATGTATAATGATATGTATCCACCATCAGATCACAGAGTACTTTAATTGCCCTAAAAATCCTCTGTGTTCTGCTGCATGAATTTTTAAAGGCTTTTCATATTAGGTCTTCACTTAGGATATGTACTGTCTTTACTATTTTAATATTCTTTGCTAAATATAGACTAAGTTTATGAGTATTTTAAATTGTAGAGCTGCTCTCCATTTAATACATTACCTAATATATTTTCATTTTCAGGTGAATTGTCAGAGTCAAAAGAAAAGTCATCTATCCCTGATATTTCAAGCCAAAAATTAGAGAAATCAAAGCAGACTGTGCTAGCCGGGCCTGTGAATGGGTCCCAAATCAAGGCTCCAGTCCCCAAAGCCAGAAAATTTATCTACAAATCAGATGGTTTAAAACAAGATGATAAACAGTCTTTTCCTAGACAAAGGTCAGACTCTATAAGTGCAAGAGGGGCTCCAAGAGGGATCCTCAAGCGTAACTCCAGTTCCAGTAGTACAGACTCGGAAACTCTTCGTTTAAATTACAACTTTGAACCCAAAAGCAAAATCGTGTCATCTGGCCTAACCATCCATGAGAGAATTTCTGAGAAGGAGCATTCTTTAGAAGATGACTCTTTCTCAAACTCATTGGAGCCATTAAAACATGTGAGATTCTCTGCAGTGAAAGATGAACTTCCTCAGAGTCCTGGGCTAATTCATGGCCGGGAAGTGGGAGAATTTAGTGTTTTAGAATCTGACAGGTCAAAGAATGGAACAGAAGATGCAGGAGACTCAGAATTTCAGGATGACCCGAAGCCCTCCCAGTACAGAAAGCCTTTTCTTCCTCATCAGTCAGCCTCAAGCCCAAGTGGATCAAAAAATGAAGCATATCAGCCAATGATTTCTGGTTCTGTTCCAAATAATGGGCTCCATTCACCCTTGGAAGTTCTAACTGCAAGACCACAGACCATTGAGAACTTGCCCACCACCAATAAACACCAAGCTAAAGCGTCAGAATTAACAAGGCTTGAATCAGAATTGTCCCCAAATCCTGCTGGTAAGAGAGTTGTCACCACCAGTTTATAAAAATTGACCCAGTAGGGTTGGAATGGTCAGGTTAGCTAACCCTGTAAAAGATCAATTTTGCCTCCTACACATTTCAGCTCGAATTCAGACTGAGGCCACTGGGGAATGCATATAACTCTAAATGGATCTGGAGGCTTTCCTCAATCACCAGTATTACTAAAAGAACCAGGACAGCATAGTTTCTAGTCCAGTATGTTCAACCCTAAAAAAAAAAAGCCTAGCCATGTTAATTATTTAAACAAATGACAATGTTTTGAGTTAAATCTAGGTGTATATATAGAGTGAGAACTAAAAATTGCTAATATTTTTACACGGAGTAAATATATCATTATCTAATGTAAATTTATTATCATTTTACTGAAGTTTGGTTTCTCCTATAATCACAAGAGAACCTTCACTTTCTTAACCTCAAAGGATGGGAAATTTGTCGGGAATACCAACTGTGAAAAACCCAGCCGTGATCTCCAGCCATTTGCTCTTTGACTTTAAAAGCTCTGAAGGACCTTTCTCCTTAGGCAGTGTAAATTAGAGACAAGGAAGGTGCAACTCGGCTTTCCTGCTAACCAGCCCTCTCTTGAAGACCTGAATCCTCTCAGGGGGTACCCCAAAGTACTTTCTTATAACTACATGATTACTTTGTAATTGTTACTTTTTAAAAAACAGAAAACAGTGGGAAAAATAATGCTGTATTATCTCTCTCATATCCAATAAGTATGCATCCAACTCTGTGGTAATTTTTTTTTTTTGTAGTCAGGCATAGTTATAATCCAACATTCAAGTTTCTAACTCAGTTGCTCTCCTTCTTTCTTATTAATATCAGGTTAGCCCTGGCTCACTTTTGCTGAGCCCAGCAATTTTCATACACGTTCAGGTTTCATTCCTTCTTGGACATTTAAAATCATCTACACACACACACACACAAATTTTTTTTGGTAGCAAGACCTTCTCCAAGAAATAAGACAACTCATATTGAAGGAAATTACTAACATTTGACCAAACATTATGAAATAATTGTATATTTACACAAATCATTCAAAGGGTGAAAACATTTTCTTTGGCAATATTTCCCTTTATTATAACTGATAGAAAAAATTGGTAAACATTTTATGTTTTTGAAATTGTATTTTCTTTCTCATAAACTATCATAAAATTTTGTATTTACTTATTTATGCTTTGATTTTTAAATCCCACTGACTATTAAATTTGGGAGGAGAATGTCATCAGCTAAACCCAGATAGATTGACAGTCCTTCTGGTCTCAAAGAGTGCTTATAAACCGAGTTATGCTACTCATTAATACCCTCCTTTTTCCCTTTTGGCTTTCTACAAAGATGTATATTAGTGAATACTGGAATATAAAAAGAAAATTAGAACCAAGAAAAAAGAAAAAAGGTAAACTCTTAAGTGTGTGAATAATAAAGATTTGAAATTAGTTCTGAAATTCAAACTATCAATATCATACTCATTTTCACTCTGGAAAAAACAAAAGATTTCCTTAAAGGAAGCAAAACATTACCTGGCACTGGATTTTTAAATGAACTTTTCTTATTTTAAAGTAATAACTTTCATTGTAAAATATTTCAGAAGAAATGCACACAGAATTATAAAAAGCACCTGACCTGTGATGTCATCATCCAGCATTAACTATTGCCAACATCTAGTATTGGAGCCTCCCAAAAATGTTTAGGTATAATTTGGGTTTGTATGGCTGAGAATTCTTTTTTCACTAATATCACAAATATTTTTCATCATCCTTAAATAGTCTGTAAACACATAGAATTCTTAAAGATTTTCCCAAAGGGACTTCCTAATGACAAATAATAATACAATGGGTATGTAGAAAAGAAATCAATATCTACTATATGCCAACTATTGTACAAACTCTCTGTCCTTTTTACATATAGCTAGGGACTGATGATTAAAATTAAAGACAGAATTCTATTATCTGACATGTCTTTTAATGCATTTGAAATGTAGCTGACTTCATAAAATTTCAGCTTACATAATTTTTAGGAATATTCACACATATTGCATAGCTTAGTGTTTTAAGGAAGAGGAGAAATGCTTAAATATCTGAGCCTTGACTACAGTCTTGACAAATTGCCTAATGAGTCTTAACGAAATGCCTGAGTTCCCTCATCCAAATGTACTATGTGCCTTTTGATTAAGGCTCAGAAAGGACTCTGCTTTCCTGATAGCTTAGAAAGAACATAAATATCCTTCTCTAGCCTTCTAGCAATTGGTTAGCTGATAACTAGGAAGCAGGTAGAGATCATATTCTCTGTCAATCCTTACTTTGAATTATTTGACTCAGGAATAACTTTTGACTTACAAATGCTAGAATATGGGGCAGAATGGAGAGGCCTGTTGAGATCAGGATTCTTAAACTCTACTGTGCAAAACAATCACTAACACAGCAGGCCCTATTTTCAGAGTTTCTTGTTTGGTGTATTAGGAGTAAGGCTCAGGAATGCAAATATTCTCACTTTATTATTCAGAAATTCTGGAGGGAATTTCTTGTTTAGACTTACTTGAAAGCTGTTTTTCTAGCTTCTGAAATTATGTAAGTCTGTGATCCTTAAACTTGGGTTTAAGAGCCCTCTGGGGCTTATGACAGTGTGCCAGGAAATAAGTAAAGTCATGAAATCAGCATGATGTATCTTCCTGGACTTCCAGTTCTATACAAAGATTTGAGAGTAGGAGAAAATTAATATTTAAAGTATAACATGGATCAGAATGTAAAATTCACATGAGTTTTTAAAATAAGCCAATGACTTCAAAGAAATTTCCCAATTAGGTCCACACACATACTTCCAGGGGTCTATCTTTGCCTTTCTTTACTGTCAGTGGGCACCTTTGGTAGAATACTTTAATTAGGATGACTTATAGCCTCTGACAGCTGCTATCAGTGTAGAAAGTGCAAATAAAAAGTGCATTTTAAAAAAGATAAGTGATTGACAATCATTCTTTGGCATGTTTTTTCTTATTTAGAAAAGCATTTCTATGTTGCAGATGAACTGTCTCATTGTGTTGAACCTGAACCATCTCAGGTGCCAGATTGCAGTTCTAGAGACCATCAGCAAGGTAAGCTCCCTCTTCTTGCGACTCTGAAAGCTAAGACATCCTCACACTCTGGTCCATATGCCACTGAGATCAAGAAGACAACTGACGATTCCATAACTAAAGTCCTAGACTGGTTTAACCGAAGTTCTCATTCAGACGACAGTAAGTCGTCCTTCCAACATCCCAGAGGAATAGAACCCAAGGGTAAAACAGACTCAAAGTCGCAGATTGCTATTGCCATGGTGACAGATGACACCAGTCTGAAAGAAAATGATTTAAAGGCACTATCATTCACTAAAGTTAAATTGAAGCCTGTGAAATTTGATTCAACATTTCAGGAAGACGGAGATATGTTGGTTTCTGAACATTTCCAAGATAATGCTATAAATATCAGACCCAAATCTATGAATTTGTCCCAACAAGATACCCCGAAGGAAGGTCCAGTTATACCACAGCCATTTGCAAGTTATGGTACCTCAAGTCAAGGGAGTAAAAATATGGACAATAGCCAAAGATCAAAAAGAACAGAAGAAGGAAATGGGGTACCTCTCCCAACCAATAACTGCCCTTATAGTTTTCTGAAAGAATCCAATGCAGAAGTCAAAGTTTCATGTAACACTAAGAATATTGGCAGCTTAGGTAAAGAAGAACTCAAGCTTCATGTTCATGAAAAATATACAGGAAACTCCAAAGTAGATTTTGACTCTTCAGCAATTGTCCAGGAACCAAATTTGAAAGATGATGTGAAAGCAGAGAGAAAGAGCAAAAAAGGAAATACTTCCATCCTGAAGGCTTCCTTAGAGACGGAGAATAGGGAGTTGCTACCTGGGATTGCCAACAGTAGAGCTCCTTCCAAAAAGCCTGAGGTTCACTTACAGCAAGAAGCTGATGAGGTTCCCAAGAACCAAGTGCAAAGAGAGAAATACAAAAGAGTGAGTGACAGAATATCCTTTTGGGAAGGAGAGAAAGCTGCTGCTGAGTTAACTTATGAAGAACCCACATCTTCATGTAGCCAGGAACAATCCACTGCTAAAGCAAACCAGCCTGTGAGATCACAGGATATATTCATGGACAGTTTATCTACAGACCAGAGTGAATATGGTCAGTTCACTGCGAAACGAGTAGTCTTTGATGAGGATGATCAAGCATCCCATCTGTCCAGTTTTCATTCCTCAAATAAGCCTAAAGAGACCAGTCCCCAAATATCAGGTCTGTTGAAACACCATCCTTCAGCTGACCAATCAAATAAAACGTCACTGTTTCAGAATAAGACAAACAAGCATATAAAAAGTCTGCTAGAGGAAGACAGTTTGCATTCTAGAAGAGACATTACTTTACCAGCATTGCAACATCCCTCAAATATTGGGAATGAAATACACACTTCTTTGGAGAAAGACAGATTTCCAATTGGTGAATCAAATGCCAACTTTAAAATTATGTCCCTAAAAGAACGAATGGATGAACCCAATACAGAACAGGTTTATAATCATTCTCAGTTTGAGAATTTGAGAAAGTTTTGGGACTTAGGAGCTAATCCAAACAGTAAGAATAATCCTGAGAAGAGTACTATAATAAGCCAAAAAAATTCTGTGTCTTTAACTAGCCAGAAATGCAAGGAATTCAGTGACATTAAATCATTAGGAAGAAATATCCACCAAACAGAGGTGCTCTCTGTTATGCCAAGAGGGGAAATGGAGAAATTAAATTCAAAATGCATACTCCAGGTGCTACCAAATGAAGCCACATTTCCATTGAGGCCACCTGGAAAGTCCATTCATCATTCGGCAGAAAATGAGTCATCAAAGGAAAATATGGAAAATAATATGGAATGCTTTGGTACTCCAGTATTTAAGGAAGCAAAGGATTACTTAGATCAAGAGATTCAGGAATCCATAGTGAAAGCACATGTTTTATCTAAAGACTACAGAGACACTTTTAGTGACAGTGTACAGAAGTTGGTTTCAGAAGGTTCATCACCAGCAATTCAACCTTCTGGTAGAGAAACTCATGGAAAACAAATACTCAAACCAGGTATTTCTGAAGATAGGAACTGGCTTCATAATACAGATTTTGCTGATGATGAGAAAGAAGCCAAAGGACCTAAAGAGGTCATTGATGAGCATGTAGATAAAACAGTGATACCTCCAAAGGTCAAACAAAACACTTTGGCTGCTAGTCTAGACAAACTCCTGAAGGAAGCAACTGGAATATCACACTCACCCTTGCAAACCAAGTTAGAACCCCTTACCACTGGAACTGACCTTCAGCTTGAAGAGGATAGATCTTTTGAAAAGGGGATAAAACTGAAAGGCTGTCAGAGAGAGATAATAGCTCCTTCATCAGAGGGCTTTGAAACTTTGGGAAATACAGCTCTCACCCAGAAAGCTGAAAGTGGCGAATTTCAGTTCAACACAGATAACTTGCTTCAGATGGGTGCAGGAAGTTCTCCTCCATTGCATCAGTCTTCCCATCTTCACAGAAAGGGTTCTTTTGAGGATGTGGCCAACTCTCCACAAGACATGCCTTTTTCCTGGGATGCTCATTTTGCTCCCCAGGATAGAGCATTGCCTTCTCAAAGGGAAATTTCAGAGACTGTAGAGAGAGTCATTCTTCCATCTAAACCTGCATTGAATGATGTAAATGCTGTATTAAAGAAGCTACTTAGAGAAGCTTGGCTGAGTAATTCTGCAAGGGAAGTAGGTTCTGAAGAAGTGAAAGCAGAATTTCCTGAAGGAGTACAGGCAGCGGGCAGCCCCCCAAATTCCCTGGGTGCAATCCCACTGTGGGCTACCATGGACACCATCATTCCAGATACGAAAGATTTTTATTCCTTCACTATAGTTCCTGATAAAACTCATGAAGTTGGATCTCATTTGACCACTCAGATATCTGAACAGCTATCTGAGTCGGAACAGTTCCTTAGCTCATCTGTTTCCACTCTGGCACACTATGACAAAGAGTTACCTCAGGAAGTGGCAGAAATTGTGAGAGAAACAATTATTAAACCCAAATCAGAGTTCCTTGAATTCAGTGCTGGCTTAGAAAAGCTCCACAAGGAAACACTAGAAACCTCCCCTTCAAGATATGAAAAGGATACAGGGACACACTCTCCAGCAGACTTACTAGGTAGTACTGAGGCACCCAGGCAAGCTGCTTCCAAATTCCATCCCAAGGAAATAGAAGAAACTGTTGTAAAGGCTGAGGTTCCATCAATAACTGAGAGTGCTTTTGATATTGGGTTTGAGAAACTTCTTAAAGAAATATCTGAAGCTCCACCTCATTGGCTCCAGGTATCAGTAAAGGAAGAAATTCCTGAGGAGGAGCCCTCACAGTCAGAGAAGTCTGGGTTCTGGGCAGAACCAAGAGCCTCTGAAATGAAGGGTAGAAGCAATGGTTTGGAATCTCAAGTCAAACAAATTGTTAAAGTATTGGGAGGAGATGAAGTTGTGAGTGATTCATCAGTTGTTTTTTGTGGTTCTGCAAGTGGGGTTGAGATCCCTGGAACCTCACCACTTTATGTGGACCATGAAATAGAGACCATTAGAACAATAAGCTCCCCAGAGGACAGGGACAACAAAAGTGATGTTGCAGGGGAACTAGGGACTTTTCAGGAACCTGGCTTTGAGGAGGCTCCTAAAGCAAGTGTATCTAAAAGCAAGCAACCTATTTTTCTCCTGACAAAGAAAGAAAACCCTACAAAAATAAGTAAAGTTGAATTGATGCTAACATCACCATATAAGAGACAAGTCAACAAGCAAGAAAAAGAAGGTTTCTCTGACTCTGATTTTTCAGATGGAAACACGGGTTCTAATGCAGAAAGCTGGAGAAATACTTCTAGTAAGCATTTTTGAATTTTTAACCCATGATAAATCTGCTTTATGGAATACTGATGTAAAGGATGACTTTAAAACATTTTTTTATTAACTTGACACTTCTAAATGGCACTGAATTCTTTTTGTCACTTTGGTTCTTTATTCAAATGATTACATAGAAACAGCTTTCCTATAAGCTTGTGTTCCAGAGCCTATCCTTGGTTCTCGTTAATCTACCTATAGAATTCTTAGGTCTCCAACATTTTAAAAACAATATTTGGGGTTTAGAAATCATCTTTAAAACATTTAAATTAGTCTTCCTCCTGGAAATAATTATAATTTCTTAATTGACAATCCTAATAGAAGTTTCTAGTAAGAGTTGTAAAAAAAAATAATGAACTGGGCACAAATTTCCCATTTAAGAGTAACATTTTCCTGTAGGTGTGGCTAAATATCAGGGATGAAGTGCAAGGTTGGGCCTTTCCTTCCCTCAGATACTTTGTGCTGCAGTGTTTTGGTCACTGTTCTCTCCCGTCATTTTCAATTATCTGCAAAAACTTCACCTTCTAGAATATGACTTTGGTCAGATGACTTCACCTGATTCCACCTAAAGTCATGGCTTGGCAGCTGCATTTATTTGGCTTTAGCCTTGACTGAATTGCTAAAGTCTTACTGGATCATAAAATTCATCTAAGTGGATCTGAGGGTGCTGGTTTCATCCAGGCTATAAAGAAGACTTGTCTCAGTTTTCTATTCTCACCAACTCTTGGGCATTTTAGTAGGGAAACCCCAGAGCACATTGGAATAAGTAGTTAACCTGATTCAAGTGATGAAATGATAGAGAATGCTCTCTGGCTGGGACATTTCAACCAAATGCACAGCTGGTGTTCATCACCTTCCTTGTGCTTTTTTTTTAATATTTATTTTTTAGTTATAGGTGGACACAATATCTTTATTTTATTTTTATGTGGTGCTGAGGATCGAACCCCAGTGCCTCACGCATGGTAGGCGAGCACTCTACAACCCCAGCTCCCCTTGTGGTTTAATAGAAACTAGATAAGCTTTACTGAGTGGCTGACTTTTGAGATTTGAGTTCCTTTGTAAGCAGATGTAGCATCACTCCTTGAACACTGACTAAAGATCTACCTTTAATCCTAATTAGTTAAATTGAAGCCCATTTAACAAATGTTACTTTTTTTTTTTTTAAAAAAAATGAAATGCTAGTCTCTAAAAACAAACATGTAATAAATTCAGCATATTAACCTTGTTGGGTATTCTCTTAATAAACTGCCCTTTGAGTTTCTAGGGTAAACTGACCCATAGGAGGCTTGCAAATCTGCACTTAAAAGACTATCACCTAATATTTCTAGCCAGATTTATAGAGTACCAATGTCATTAAGTGAATATCAAAAAGCCTAAGGAAAAAATAGGTGATATTAAATTATCACCCAGTCAGAGCCCAGAGAAGATATTTTAAAATTAAATGCCAAGTAAGAGGTATACGATGGTATAGTCATGGCTTTATATCCTTTGACCTAAATTATTGTTCTATAACAAACTGGAAAGTGTGTAGGTAAGAGTTGGGTAGGAACCTTACTACAAAACCACCCTAATTTTGCTGAACAAACTAACATGTTTGACTTGTGGCCAAGCTCTTAACCAACCAATACCTCAATATGTTTCTTTAGGGAAAAGAAATTTTCCATGGTCAAATACTTTTGGAAATCCTGGGAAATTATGTATTTTATTAGCTTGTCAAAATCTCCGAGAAGCTTTGCAATAAGAAACCTCTTAAATTTGAACAAAAAACACCTCAAATCTTGTTCATCTCAGAATCTATTTGCTGTGGAATGCGTACCAATGTTAGGCAGAGCTGGAATGCATTTCAGGAAATTAGTTTTTTAGAGAAGTGATTCTTAAACTCATTGATTCATTAATTGAATCATTCATTCATTGATTCAGCAAATATTTTTGAAGTGCCTTTTTACAGCCACAGTTTTAGGCACTGAGTATAGACAGTGATAAATGTCAGTATTAAGACCAGGACTATCAAGGATGGAGTTTTTTCACTGTTAAAATGGAAAGAAAAAAAAAAAGAAATGATAATATTGAGACTTTTTCTGGTAAAGTGATATGTATTTAATTTCAGGACTATTCTTAGTCTAAAAATATGCCCTTTTTTCCCCTCTGTTCTAAAATGTTTTTCTTTTTTACAAAATGAAGCCATTAGTAAAGGATAGAATTTCATCTTCCCTTTTAAAATGCCTTAGTTAAATAAAAAGTTGACTTCCCCACTTATTTACCAACATTTTATTTGAAATTTTATTAAATTATAAAATCCAGAAAACCTATAGTTGTTGAGTTGTTGATCTGGATAAGTCCCTCATTTGTGTACCCATTTGCATACAGAGTTAAATCTCTAAATCCTGCCCTCCATGGTTTCATGGTTTTCAGCCCCCCCCCCCCCCCTTTTTTTTTTTTGGTAGCAGGGATTGAACCCAGAGGTGCTTAACCACTGAGGCTTATCCCCAGACCTTTTTTATATTTTATTTATAGACAGGGTCTCACTGTGTTACTAAGTGCCTCGCTAAACTGCTGAGGCTGGCTTTAAACTTGCAATTCTCCTGCCTCAGCCTCCTGAGTCGCTGGGATTGTAGGTGTGCACCACAGCGCCAGGCTAATTTTTAAAATGCTTTTAAAATCATTTTGTGGCTGGAAGATTCAAAGTCTGGACAAAATAAATAGTGTGCCTAAAATAAAAGTGTAAACAATTAGGAGATCAATGTGCTGATCTTGTTTCTATATGATTTATGTTTGCAAATATTTCTCAATGAAGAAAAAAATTAAAGGAATATTAGTAGTGGAAAAATTTAATTTTCTTCTGTTAAATAGTTGCTTGGTAGAACAAATAAAAGTAGGGAGGCTTATGCCATAATTTCTCTTTTGAACCCACCATTTCAATGTCCATTCGTTATTTAAAGTTTATTTTTTCTTTTGTATTGTGCAGTGTTCATCGGTTTTGTCTTATAACAGGTTCAGAAGAAGAACCCAGTCCTGTTTTGAAAGCTTTGGAAAGGAGTGCTGCTAGGAAAATGCCTTCCAAAAGTCTAGAAGACATTTCATCAGATTTATCAAGTGAGAATAAAGTTTGCCCCACTGTTCATGCTCCATCTTAGCTTAAAAGTGCTTATGTGCTGTTCTGTGGCCTGACTGCATGTTGACGTGCACTGAAACTCCTAATACAGGGGTTGACAGATGGGAATAACCTTCCCCAAGTATACTGAATCAGAGACTCACTCTTAAGTGTCCAGAACACTGCTTTCAAAAATAATGCATGAGGTTTGGTTCCTACACTACTACGTTTCCTTGAATCAAAGCATCCCAGTTTGAGTGTTTACTCAAGTACAGTGTTTTAAAGGATCGTGGCAGCTAGTAGCAATAATGGAATAATAGTAATAGCTAACATCTATAAAATATTATGTGCCAAAAATTTTCTAAGAATTCCACATGTATTAATTCATTTTACCAATACAAGCGCTCTATGAGAGATGAATAATTGTTATCCCCACTTTATAGATAAAGAATATGAAGCTCAGAGAGGTAAAATAGTTTGCTTAGTATCACACAGCAGACCTGGGACTCAAAAGATAACTGTCACTAACATTTGTGAAGTGATAATATTATATGTGACAGTGTTAGGTGTCTAATGAATTTTGCATGATATGGGTCTGAATTAGTCCCTGGCTTCAAGGATTTCTCTCTCTCTTTCTCTGGTACTAGGGCTTGAACCGAGGGGTGCTTTACCCCTGAGCTACATCCCCAGCCCCCAAGCCCTTTATTTTATTTTTTAAATTTGAGACGGGATCTTGCTGTTGTTCAGACCCTTGCTACATTGCTGAGGCTATCTTTGAACTTGATCACATGATCCTCCTGTCTCAGTATGTACCACCATACCCAGCTCATTCCTTCTTTTCTATTCCCACATTTCTCTTGGATATTGGGTCTATAAACCAAAAGACTACCTAACATACAATATGTTAGGTACACTATTCCCCACTGGCTGCTGCTTTAATTGGTGAAGGATTTCTTCTGTACTAACAGAAAACATAACATCCATAGGGACCCATGTGCCAGACAAATGGAACTATGACTTCTAGGGGTTTGGTTCTTACCCTTTTAAAGCTAAAGATATACCTGTGGGATTTCACATGGTTATAAGGAAAAATTGATTAAAAGTTAACCACTGCCAAATTAATTGATTGATAATTGACCATTGGGTTTATTATATATTTTAACACCTTCAGTTGAGACTAAGTAGTCAGAGTTTTAAAAGAAAACTGAAAAAGACGCTTCACTAAATTTCTAAAATTCAGAGATTTCCAGGGATCTAGAAAATGTCCCCAATTTGGAAGGTAGTCCTAACCTTCCCAAGGATTTTAGAATCTTAGGTTTGGGAGGGACCTTAAAGGTCACCCATTTCAAAGTCCCCACCCCCCCACCCCACCCCCACCCCTGCGCGCCAAGCAGGAATTCCCTCTAATGCCTCCTTAACAGGTGGTCAACCCCCATATCCGCCTGGATGCTTCTAGAGAAGGCAGTCTCATCCTTTGTTGGACAGCCTTAATTGTTCTTCCTTATGTCAGTGATAGGCCTTGAAGAAAAAAACCTCAGTGACAATCGTTCAGTTTAGCAAACCTCTTTGTCTCTGAAGCATGGAGCTATTTCCATGGTGCAGCTTTAAAGTATTCAGGAATGTGTAGGGTTAAAAAAAAATCACCATCAGCTGACGGGTATTCCTGCAGGCTCCCTTCCAAATACCGATACCCACTCTCACACTAGCCTGCCAAAATTCCACTTAGCAGCTGGTCCCCAGTTACATCTCTTCAGTTGACTTCCCAAGCAAGCCTCCCAGAGGCATATGCAAACGATGATGCATACACACAAATATTTGTTAATGACCATAGATTTGGGGAGGTGTTAGTCATGGCCAGCATCTTACCCTTTCCAGAAGAATAGAGAGGCTGTTGCAGCCCCGCGCTTTCTCCTGCTGTCAGCCAATTGCTTGCTCTGAGCTAACCCTCTAACCCTTGGGAGTCGGTGTGCAGCAGTGTGCTGATGTGTGCTGCATCCGGGATGAAATGGGAGCTCCTGCTATGGCACTGGCTCAAGTAGCTAATCTAAAGAGAAAGTATTTTGGGAAGACATCTTGGTTGCACCCCTCACCGCATCTTGACTAATTGCTTCCAAGTCCGGGAGCTTCCAGGGACAATCTCATTGTTCTTTTTCTAAGGGGCAGTCTCGTTAACCATTTATTAATTTCTCCTGAACAGATCAAGCAAAAGTAGATAATCTGCCAGAAGAACTAGTACGTAGTGCTGAAGATGGTAAATATCTTTATGTATTTGCATGTCTGTTTGTGTATTAAGTTCTGGGGTGATTTGTGCAGTTACTCGGACGCAGCTGTTGGATAAATAGAAGAACGTCATTTACCACTATGTGGCGAATAGTGCCTAAGTTATTATAAAAATGGTTCTGACTTGGTACATTTAACACTATTTGTATCTTTATGGCTTCTGCTGGTGAAACCATTGTAAGGATCTCATCAGAGACCCTTGGGGAGCAAGGGTTTTTATAAATATGAAATTGTATTTCTATGCATATGAGCTGATTTTTGTGACTCTGATTTGCAGAACTCCTTTTGAAGGCAAGAAGAGGGGATGGGTTCCTGGGTTAGGTTATTCCTATATTTAATGCTTAAGGCTCAGCATTTAGCTCTCTTTGTGTACAAATGGTTAAGACTTAAGTTCAGAGGAAAGGGCCCCAGAACAAGGGTGGGGAAGCCTGTCTCAGCTTATGTAAATAGTACAGGCTGAGGATTTAGAATTGATTCTGAATATTAAGGAGCTAGAAGATCTTGAAGCTTATCAATGGGTTATGTATTACTTAATTCAGTTATAAAATAAATAAAGTAATAGTGCCTGGGTCGGGGGGGAGATAGAAATGAGTCTGATTTTTATAGTTCAGAATTTATGCAAATGTACAATTTTTATTTTATGCTTTTTTATTTTTGTAAATTGTTCTTACTGTAATCATAAAAATGCATACTCAAAAGAGTTTTCCTATACAAAATGTAGCAATAGAGCTCCTCAAAGTTACTCCTTACTCTTATGTAATAGATTTGTTTTTCTTAACAATCTCATTGAAGCAGGTGGGATAAGGATTTTAATCTTCATTTTGCAGATAAGAAAAGCTCAGAAAAACTAAGTGACTTTTCTAAGCTCCTGTAGCTAGTCAGTCAGGGGAAGGGCAGGGAATAGAATCTCAGCTTCATTGCTCCTAGTTCAGTGTTCCTTCCCGTTTCTGTGCTGTGGCTTAGCAAATCAGCAGAAAAGGCTACATATCACCTATGCTGGATGTTAGATTAGGAAACCTTAAAGAGACTAATGAAGCATCACACTGGGATACAGATGGAAAGCAAGCTGAGAACTTTCCGTGTATTCTCCAATTTCAGTTGTGAAAATGATATTTGAGCTTTACTTTCATGTCTGTTTAATTCTTCTGTTAAAATGGTATTTATTCTCAATGTTACTCTTCTGAGTAGATCAAAAAGCAGATCAGGAACAAGATACAAATGAATGCATACCAGGAAGTGAGTAGTGGGATCTTTCTCAAATTACTAAATGTTGCATTCCACATAGTGTTAAATATACTGAAAGAACTAACCCATTAATAACAAAGCATTTATTATTGCTAAACTCCCACAGCTTGTAAAACTATTTCATTTCAATAAGGATTTGTTAAAAACCTTTTACTACTTCTATGTTGAAAGAATAATCTGTGGTTATATTGAGGGAGATTTAAGTATTAAAATATATGTGTGTGTGTCTATAGATGTGTGTGTGTGTGTGTGTGTGTGTGTGTGTGTATAGCTATTGCTATTACTGAGTATTATTGACTTTTGTCAGTCTATCTGATCCTTGAGTCTTTGCTTAAAGTCAAATTGGCACTTTTGATTTCAGTTGACTTTTATGTTACAGTGAGGTCTTGAGTATTCATTTATTGCATTCTCTATATAAGACTGTAGTAATGAAGTGATTTATTACTTATTTAGACCCCAGAAAACTATACAGTTCATATGTATGTAGTATGGTTATATATGCCTTTTTACATATCTATAAAAGCAAATTTTATTACATCCAGGATTTGAACAATAAATATTCAATGTTAAAAGTCAAGTGAATATCTGAGCCTAAGAAATAAATGTATTCTTGTGGCAACTAATGTCCACCCACTAATCAGTGTCCACTACCAAGCAAAGGTAATGTTTGTTCCCTCTTTTCTGTTCAATTTTAAGGTTACACTACTTAGCTATGATTACCGGCTTAAGGACAGATGATGCATTAAAAGGTGTTTTGGGGGCCTCGCAAAGCATGCAGCTATGCATGTGTGATTCCTTAGCTCCCTAGTTTCAATTGGTTTTATAAACCTAGGCTATGGAATTATGAAGATAATGACACATGCCTGCCCTTGGGTCCACAGCATTTTTAATAATTATAATTTCCCAACATCCTTTGGATGTACTAATAGGCCTTAAAAGGAAAGCAGCTAAATGAAGGAGCCATTTGGTAGAGAAATGATGTGCTGATGTAAGAAGTCAGTGACATCTAGAATGAAATCTGAAACTTTGCTCATGAGGTCTTCCTGCCAGCAGTGAAGGCACTGAGCTTTGGCACATGACTTGACAAATTCTTAAGCACTGCCTAGGAAAGAAGACAATCCAGGCCTGGCCCTTGTGAGTATCTGCTCTCTGTCTAGCTATTGCAGACAAAACAAGACTTATGCCCTTTAAGAGGTGTTGGATGAAGAGGTTTTTCTAGTTGCTTTTGAACTGGAACTTGCATAAGTTTGGGCATCTGACTTTATTTTTCTTTGTTTTGTTCAATATTTAGTCTGAAGAATGAAAGTAAGACATATGTAGACACATGCTGTATCTTCATACATGACCTCCTAATTGGCTTAGTTATTAGTCAAGGCAAATAGATAAATTGCATGCTGGACTCTGGGTCAATTAATTTCTATTTTTGGTAATATTCTCCAAAATTACTTTTAGTATCTTTTCACTAGTAAAATATATATATATATATATTCCTGCCATAAGACAAGATTAGACATATGATCAAAACCTAAATAATTAAAGAGAACATAAATGTAAAATTGACTACATTTGGTTAGTGAGTATAATTGAGTTTGACCCGCAGAGCATCATGCAACAATATACCTTGAAAACATCAGAAGCAGTGTTGTTATAATGAAAGTTTTTATATTCTCATTGAACCATACTGTGTGACCTCATCTTATACTAATATCATTATAATTCACCCCAGAACACACACACAAGTTGTTTAATGGGAAGTGATTAAAGTAGATATTTTATAAGACATTGTGAATGGATTTTGTTTTATATTGTCCTTTGCAAGTCTAAGTGTTAATTGATAACTGATATGTGAATAAGTTTTTTTCCATTGGATTTCTTTCAATAAAAGATGAGTTTATACAATGTTTAGAGATGAATGTTTAGAAATGTCTTTTGAGTTATACACAGAAATATAGTTTTATTTTTATATCTCTTAATGATACAAGTTAATACATTTGTATGGGATTTACAGTATGACAGATTCCCTATCAGATAATGTTAATTTGCTTAGAACATTTTTACAGAACCTACTATGTGTTAGGCTATACCAAGTGCCTTGTCATTTTTTTATTATAAGAATTATGATTCACTGTAAGAAAGGTTTTTCCCCCCACTTTTTTTTTTTTGTGTGTGTGTGTGTGTGTGTGTGGTGCTGGGGCTCGAACCCAGGGCCTTGTGCATGTGAGGTAAGCACTCTACCAACTGAGCTATATCCCTCAGCCTATCCCACATTTTTTTTATTGGTGCATAATGGGATTTGTTGCATATTTGTACATGCACACAATATACAATATAACAATAGAAAAGTTTAGACCTGGTGATTCTTAAAGAAGAAAATAGTTTTCTAAAGATATGCAAATTCAGGTTAGAATTGATCCTTTTATTGTGTGTTCCAAACCTAGAAAGAAGACATATGCTATATTTTCATATTAAATTCTTAAAAGTATACTAACTTGAGCCATTTACACTTGGCCTTGAATATTGAGACTTCTCTGAGTCAAAAGTGGCTAAATAATTTGTATTTAAAGAAACAATTATTTTAAAATTATACATTTTATAATTGAGTAAGAAACACTATTATTAAAGGAATCCTTATGATCACTAAATAAACAGACCTGTTCTTAGTCATTCAGTAGAAAAGGACACTCTTATTATTGAGTATGTACAAAGATCCTTACTGTCCAGATGAAATAGTTTTTCAGCCTAAGCATGTTATTAATATAGTAGATCTTGAGGAGATGAACCAATAAATTATAGCTCTTGGTTTTCAAAGCTCTGATATGAGAAAATAAGTAAAACCAATTCATATCCACATAATACTTTAATTCAAGTCCAGCTCCAATTCAATAAGAAGTAAGGGTTTTTAATTAATTTTTATTTAGTATTTGGTTCAACTCCTTGCTAGTTTTCTCTCTCTATATATAATTTGTAAAAATTGCATGTTGCTTACCTCATAATCCTGTGCATGTCAACTATTGTGCTTTTAACCTTTACAAAACGTGTCCATTCATAGATGAAAGAAAAGTGTTTTCAACTTATACCTAATATCTTATAATTGAAAGAATAATTTTGAAATTGAAATGCTGCTGTTTAGTTTCCACAGTGCCTTCACAACCAGATAATCTGTTTTCCCACCCTGACAAATTCAAAAGGATGAGCAAGTCTGTTCCAGCATTTCTCCAAGATGAGGCAAGTTTGTCTTTTTCACCTTCAGAAAAATAAAGCCAGGTTAGTGTGTTTATATTGTACTGTGGCAGAGTCCTAAGAGGTCAGCAGGTCTGACCTTGTTTTCCAAGTCAATGGAGGCAGTGTTGTTGATCCTGGAACAAGGCAAGCTCTGTCTCAGTTGACTCAAACAGTAACTCTTTTTGGTCAGAGAAGTCAGATTGCATAGATTTGGGAATGTGACTTTTGTTTCAAAGTAGGTACAAAATAAGATATCCAGACAGAAATATGTTGGCATGAATTAATTACCCCTCTGTAGCTTAAAGCTGGTTTGTGCAAGCTTAGTCTAGATAGTAAGACTACCTTGAAAGCATTTGTTATAATAATGAAGTAACAATGACGCAGCAAACTTTCAGGAACATCTACAGGGTGCCAGGGACTTCACCTTAATTTTTTTCATTTAATCATCCAACAAGCCTGAAAAGTAGGTATCATCAGTATTCCCAGAATTTATAGGTGAGGAAACTGAGACTCAGCCAGAAAGGGGTTGCTCAACTCTGGAGCCCAGATCTGATTCCCATGCTGATAACAACTGTATACTACCACCTCTGGTAAGAACATGACTATTATCATACACTATTCATTGAATTGATATGTATCAGGCACGTAATACGCATTCTGACATTCAGCTCTCACTAACTGTACATGGTAGGTACTATTTTCTCTCTTTTAAAAAAGAGGAAAGAGCCTCAGAGAAGTGAAGCCACCTTCCCAACATTCAATAGCTATTAAAAAGCAGACCTAGGTAACTCAATTGTAGGAAATTGTCTAGCATGTGCAAGGCCCTGGGTTCAATCCCCAACACCATAAAAAGTTAAAACAACAACAACAACAAAACCAGAATATAACAACAAAATATAGATCCAGGACTTTAACTCAGGTGCTTTAACTTAATGAAGATCCCACATTCTTTCTTTTTTAATTTTTTTTTAGTTTTAGATGGACACAATATTTTTATTTTAGTTATTTATTTTTTTATGAGGTGCTGAGGATTGGACCCAGTGCCTCACATATGCTAGGTGATTGTTCTAACACTGAGCCACAAACCAAGCCCCAAGATCTCACATTCTTGTAGTAAGGTAGTTGGGAGTCTTAGGTCTAGAGTCAGATGTTTCCATTCCTGCCTCTGATATTGTGTGATCAGAAGACAAATTCTTTAGTTTTCCTGAGTCTGGTTTCCCAGTACCTATCACACGAGATTGTGGAGAATCAGTGGCCTAAGTGCAGTAAAATATAGTACAGTGACTAATACATAGTACCTGCTAAAGGTGTATGCTGTTTTTGCTTTTGATCTGATTTCTGATGGTGAAATAAAAGACTTTATTATCAAGCATTTTCTTAGTAGATGGAATATAAGGAAAATTCTGGGTAACATATAAATCATGTTCCATCGCATGCATCCTGGGCATCCTTCTGTCCATTCTGGGGCTTTAGATGAACTGTATCTGCAAATGTTCAGCCCTTGCATATGCTTAAGAGCCCACATTACAGTTTCCTTTGGGAAGAATCTATTAATTTTTTGGAACTAACTTATAAGCTGGATGGAGGTTCTGTGGTTTTATACCTTTGTAATCTGCTTTTGTCTTAGTTTGTCATAGGAATGAATCATATAACAATTTGAAAGATAAATTATATCAATTTCTGTTTTTTATACTTTTCTTTTCCCTTCAGTTTTAACCTGTCTCAAAACCCCACACAGAAAGAAGTTCAAATGATTTGGGTTTGTGTATTGAACATGCCAGAAATAAAAGACTTTATTATCAAGCATTCTATTAGTAGATGGAATATAAGGAAAATTCTGGGTAACATATAAATCATGTTCCATTGCATGCATCCTGGGCACCCTTCTGTCCATTCTGGGGCTTTAGATGAATTGTATTATTTTACCTTCCCAACTACATGGAGTTGAACTGGATATTTAAAAAAAAAAAGAAAAAAAAAGTGGAGATGAAATCAGGTTTTGTTTCTTTGTCCACTGTCCCTTTGAGACTTAGCATCGGTCACACTTGTGTGAAAATCACTGATCCAGTTCAACACAACAAGGTCCCACCCTTCCAATAATTGACTAATTATCTGATTATCTAGGTAGAACATAGTATATAACAGAGGAAAATGGTTATTCAGCATGTGGGGAGAGAATGTGACAACAGAGATATTTAAAAAGTATTATTTTTTTTAATACTTTAGAAAGGATTTTTTCTCATCCATATAAGTTATTTATTTTATTTCTCTAACTCTTTCATTAATCTTCATTAGAATTGGCATTCATATTTTATTTGTACATAATTGCATGGTCCTGGAATATGTTGGCATGAATTAACTACTCTCCATAACCCCAGGAATTCTTGGACTGCTCCATAAGCTCTCTAACCCCAAAAGGAGCTCATTCTGAATCACAAACTTTGTAGGCTACCATCAAAAAACTTTAGGTATAAATATAATGAAATTTGCCACTCCTACTTTCTTGTCCCAGGCACATATTTCTTGGGACATAATTAAAATAAGTATCTTACTGCATTTTAAATTTTCTAAGAAATGTGTTAAGGTCTAATGTAGGTGGAATGTATAATTTTATATGCTCTCCTATAGCAATAAAATGTTAAGCACAATAGACTATAGAAATAATAAGGGGTGGTTTAAAATTTTAGTTGAATAGATCAGTCTAGCATCTCTTTTTCCTAGTTTAGTATTATTTCAAGTAAAAAGAGATTTGATTTTTAAAGCTAAGTCTACAATAAAAATGAGAGGAATTAACATTGTGTACTGATAGGATATCTTAGACCTTTCATTGTCTGGGTAATTATGAAAAAAGTTCCCTGGGAAACATAAATATATAATATTTAAAAAGTGACAAGAAGGCTCCTAACAGTGTTGTCTTCTATAGCACTGTGCAGGTGGAAATATCACTTTATTATTTCTGGTAGCTAAACACTACCCTCCTCCTTAGGTGAGCTCTAGTATAGACCACCCACTCCCTCTTGAATCCTATTCCTCCACAATTAATGCTAGCATCCTTTAACCTTGGGAAATGTCATAGATCAGTGGATATCAAGATATCCTTTCTGTCTAAACGGGATTCTGCCCTTGACTCATACCTAATTTAAATACTGTGCATATTATATGATGTTTTGTAGAGTGATGACAGAGAAACAGATACAGCATCAGAAAGCAGTTACCAGCTCAGCAGACACAAGAAGAGCCCGAGCTCTTTAACCAATCTTAGCAGCTCCTCTGGCATGACGTCCTTGTCTTCTGTATGTAACCAAAGGCTCCATGTTAATATCTTTCTGCTGCTCTAAACATTGCTTTGCCTGCTTTGTAAAGTGACCTCCTATTGTAGTTCTTAGACTGTAAGGACACAAGCATTTTCTCTAATCCACAAGGGATTTCATATCCATTATAAATGCACAAAAATTTTTTAAAAATTTTATTTCTCTAACTTTAAAAACTTCACAAATAAACCTAAATTACCAAGAAGATGAGTCACTAAATTTTTCTGTGCAACAAATGGGGTAACTATTATAAAAACTTTATATCAGATATGCTTTTATATATTGTTTACAGACATAGAATTGTACCTATCTTTTTAATAAGCCTGTTAGTAAATATACTGATTCACATAAAAGAATAGGAGAGGTGTCCTTTGTCTTATAGAAGGATGCAGAAAGGGTTATAAAATGAAAACTCCCTAAGTGTAGTTGCCTAGATTTGATTTGAGAGAATTTGACTTTACATAGAACTTCTTGCATACACTGAAGTAGTTGTATGTGCATTTAGTATAGAATGTGCATGTAGTATAGAAATATACATATATAAGTGTATTGAGATATACTTATCTAAATATTTTTATCATATACATACGCATACATATATCTTACCAGGTATGCTAAACAAAAAAGGAAGCTTTGCTTCAATTCTTACTAGCCTTGCATTTCTGAAACCTTTTTAAAGAAATCTATTTAAATTGATTTTCTGCTGATAATCTAATGTATACCCTTGGGAAGGCTTTAAACCCCCTTTCATCAATCATCCATTTTCTACCCTTTCTGACCTCTAAAAGTGCATGGCTCAGTAAGCATTTTCCTAGATTCAGTGGATGGATAAAATTCCTTTTCAGTGCCTTGGAAATTTAAGCAATGTGTCATTGTGATTTGTGGACCTAGAGTTTCTCACATTTTCTGTCTTTAGCATTTTAAATACTATGCATGCCTAAAAATGGAACTTTGAATGCCACCTAGCATGAAATCGCCCTCCTTTCAAATGAGCCAGCATGTAAATAACTTAGCATTTCACTTTTCATCTATGTCATTTAGGAACAACTTAAACAAACAAACAAACCCTAACCATGTATATCATGTCATGCTGTCTGTATTGATATGTTCTTACGCCCTGCTAAGAATTAACTGCTTTCATATAAGCTGGAGAAATAATGCCAAGCAGGGATTATGTCCATAGTTTTTGCTCTGAGACAAACACTGCATGTTTCTGATACTTTCAGGTGAGTGGCAGTGTGATGAGTGTTTACAGTGGAGACTTTGGCAATCTGGAAGTGAAAGGAAACATTCAGTTTGCAATTGACTATGTGGATTCACTGAAAGAGCTGCATGTTTTTGTGGCCCAGTGTAAGGACTTAGCAGCAGCAGACGTAAAAAAACAACGTTCAGACCCGTAAGTACATCTTGGAGTCACCTACTTTCTCTTAGTTTTCGAACTGAATCTTGTAGGAATAAAGAAGAAAATAAAAGAATCAAAAAAGAGTCTTTGTGTGACTTTGTTAAAAGGACTATTTGAAAAGGTGGAGAGAAATGCTGTTTTATTTACTTTATAAACTTATATGTCAAACATTAAAATTATAAAAATCACAGAGAAACACAAAAAGTTTCAAGTTGGAAGAAACCTTTGAAGACATCTTATCCAATTCATTCATATTATAGATAAGGAAATAAGGGATAGAGAAAACAACCCATATATGTGAATTCAGATAGCAGCAAAATTAAGAATGAAAACTTGAATCCCTGACTCTTTCCAGAACACTTTCAAATTTTTTAATGTTCTATGGTGTAAAAAAATAATTAAGACTTTAGAATGACATAGCTTCCATTACTTAAACTAAGTCCTACAGAAGAACTTTAGAGAAAATTATTAATTCATATTTTAAATCACAAGTTTGATTGCATTTCATTTTATTTGCAAAAGTCAGATGGTATTCTCCACTCATCCCTTTGTAGAAGTCTAATTCTTAATTATTGTGCTGGGCCAAACCTAATATTTTTTCTTTCATTTTTAGTGTAAAAACAGTGGGGCCCAATGTTCTTCATCTTTTTAATTGGCTCAATTAGATTTGTGTCAAAATTAAATTTTCCCCCAAAAAAATAACAAAAACTTAAAACAATAACAACAATAAAAACCAAAACAAACAAAAAACTGGAAGCACCGAAGCCTTTTCTCAATAGAAAACTAACCAACAGAATTAAGCACTATTTTGCAGGCACTCTCCCTTCCCCGTACATGATGGGAGGCCAGAAGGCAAAAATGAATTCAGAAAATTTCCCTTAAAATCCTTCAAAACAGGGTTGTGGTTGTGGCTCAGAGGTAGAGCACTCATCTAGCATGCATGAGGCACTGGGTTCGATCCTCAGCACCACATTAAAAAAAAAAAAAAAGGTATTGTGTCCACTTGTAACCAAAAAATAAATGTTTAAAAAAACTTAAACAATATTAAGTGATCTATTGCATTAAAATCCCTTTCAATATCTAATTATAAAGGTGTTGTTGTGAACATTTAGTACTTACTACTTTTCTCCATGTGGTTAAATAATTATTGCTGCTGTAAGTTTTCATTGTGTTTTTTAAAATTAATTAATTTTAATTAGGTATATATGACAGCAGAATGCATTTTGATTCATTATACACAATTGTAGAACAGCTTTTCATTTCTCTGGTTGTGCATGATGTAGCATTGCACCATATGTGCAGTCATACATGAACCTAGGGTAATAATGGCATTGTGGTTTTTAGGAGTAGACGTGGAAACATTTTTATCTTCTCTGACCTACTTGTCTATTTTGTCTTATTTTTAGATATGTAAAGACTTATTTGTTACCAGACAAAGGCAAAATGGGCAAGAAGAAAACAGTGGTGGTGAAGAAAACCTTGAATCCCGTGTACAACGAGATATTGCGGGTATCTGTGAACTCTCTTACATAGGAAACTCCTAAATGCTGACCTGTGCAATTTAAATAGCCATGTCTTCTTGGGTAGTATTTACACAGATGAAGTCAGTCACCAAGGAAACAAAGAAAAGAAAGGAATATAAATTTCTGAGAATCTGCTCTGTATGAGAGGCTGTCCATGAGTGTTATATGTGTTATGTCATGCCCTCCCTGTGCATCCCCTGCTGGATGAGGCAAATGAAGCTCAGAGAGAGTAACTGGCTCAAGGTTACAATTTTGATATTTCTCTGTTTAATTTTTTTTATGATTCCCACTACCCTGAGGAGCAAGTCCATCCTTAATAACATGCATACCAGTCCCTTCCCAACCAGAGCTCTGACCTCAACTTTACTTTTTCATAATCTTTGTTCTAGTCATCTTATATTCCTTTCTGTACTCTGGAGGAAGTACATTTTCTTGACTGCCTTGATTTTCTGTTCTTTTGGGATGGAATAGTTATTCCCATATTTTTTCCCTAACTACCTCCTACACAGTTATTAATACCTCTTCCTATGTTCCTATGTTGTTAAATCCTAAGTTCCTTTGCTGTCTGCTGCCTCAAAAACTTTGTTTTATGATAAACTTATGTTAACACTCAGCACTTTATTCTAGTGGTTTGTTTGACACTAAATTTTATACTCCATGAGGGCTGTGCTGCGTTTATAGTTTGTGTACCTTTGGGAAAATTATATACCTGCATCTCAGATCTGAGAAATGGGGAAAATGATGGTTTCGGGATCAGCAACAGAACAATAGTAGTACTCACCAGCTGCAGTGGTTGTAGATATTAAAAGAGTTAATATATGTGAAGTGATTAGCACACATTAAACTTTTAACAAATGTTCATAGGTAATACACTGTGTAGGACAGGTGCCAAAAAATGTTTATGAGAAGGATAGATGGATGAACAGATGAATGGAGAATATACCTGGCTCACACACCCATAATTCATTTTCTTCTCCGAAACTCTATCATGCTGTCTTTGTTGTGACTAACAGATCATTTAAAACTGTAAAAAGTGTCATTCATTACTTCTTTTTGAAAACTCTTATTTTTGGGGGAGTGGTACTGAAGATTGAATTCAGGGGCACTCGACCACTGAGCCACATCTCCAGCCCCATTTCATATTTTATTTAGAGACAGGGTGTCACTTGGTTTTGCTGAGGCTGGCTTTGAAATAGCGATCCTCCTGCATCAGCCTCCTGAGCTGCTGGGGTTACAGGTGGGCATCACCACGCCCAGCTGAAAACTCTTTAAGTATTTGATTATCCTCTGGGAAAACAAACAGTTAAATAAATTCTTAATCATCCATGGAGGAATTAGCCACCTGTGGATTTTCTGTAAGCAAGTTTTTAATTACTGTTTAACTGTGATATTCCCCACTACCTTTCTATTTCTGAATCAGCTGGAAAAGCCAGCTAATTTAAATGGTAAATGCAGAGAAAGGCAGGTTTGTACAACCAAAATGGACAGTCATGTAATACATCATAAAGCCAAGTGGAGATTATTTTTAGATTAGAAGTACTATTATTCTTTCTTGATTATATGTAATCAAGGATTGACTTAGATTTGGCATGAAAAACTGTTGGATGACAAATATTCTCTGCTTTATCACATGAAGCTAGGGAAAAAACAAATTTTTATTGTTTTTTGAAAAATATCTTGTCTTATGGGGATGTTGATAGGGAGGGGTGCATGATGGTATATAAGAACTCAGCACTTTCTGCTCATTTTCTCCATGAACACAAAACAGCTCTAAAAAATAAAGTCTATTTGAAATGTGCCTTGTCCTCAAGTAGAAAAAGATAACTAGATTATATTTGATTTGCATTTTAGACTGAATTTGATTTACATTATATCTAGTCTGAAAACATCCAACAAACATTGAATACTTGACTTTTGTTTTTAGAAAGCTATTACCAGCTATGATATTTGAGCCATAGTCTACTTTTCCTGGGTGGGGGGACGGGGTGGGAAGAACATCAGCTATAATGAAAGATGAATTTTAGCTCTTTGAAATAAAATACTTAGAATAAGATGACTTTGCAATATTTTTGAGACTTGAAATCTAACAAATGAGAAAATCTGATCTATGCAGATGACTTTCTCTTCATTTCTGTGTCATGACTTTGGAGTAAAGTAATGTTATTCATTGTTTAAATTTCTTCTTTGAACTGCAGTATAAAGTTGAAAAGCAAATCTTAAAGACACAGAAGCTGAACCTGTCTGTTTGGCATCGGGATACCTTTAAGCGCAATAGTTTCCTGGGGGAGGTGGAACTTGATTTGGAAGCATGGGACTGGGACAACAAACAGAACAAGCAATTGCGGTGGTACCCGCTGAAGCGGAAGGTAAGTTGAGGTCATTGTAAGGTTGGTTGGTGTGTGACCTGATATGTAGGAAAAAAGTTTAGTGACTTAATTTATGGTGCTGATCTATAGTTTAGAGTCATTTTAAATTAGTGTGAACTTATTTAGCTTCTACATTCTGTGAAAAAAGAGGAAAAAGAACTATAGGGAGAATGTTTGGATCCTTTAACAACAAATATTTCAGAGACTTTAGGAAGGTCATTTAAATAATTTGTTTCTTTGAAAATTGAGATGTACTTTTAACCTAGCATTTGTTCAGATTTGATGAATGTTTCATGAGTTACTTGAAAGTATGTTATTTGGTTGTTGGATGTAATGTTTTATATCAATTAAGTCAATAATGGCTGCCAAAATCTTTTATATCTTGTATCTGTATACTATGAATTACTAAAAGAGATATGATTATGGATTTGTCTCTTCTTTTAATTTGCTGTTTATTTTTAGTTTATCTTACTAATACCTTGAATTGGCTAAGGCACGAGGATGGTGAGTTCAAAGTCAGCCTCAGCAGAAGCCAGGTGCTAGTAACTTAGTGAGACCCTGTCTCTAAATAAAATGCAAAATAGAGCTGGGGATGTGGCTCAGTGGTCAAGTGGCCCTGAGTACAATCCCCAATACCCCTCCCCGCAAAAATGGTTTTATTTTTCTGATGGACTACTATTATTTTAAAATATCCTTTTTTACCTCTAGTAATACTTCTTGTCATAAAATATGTTTTCTCTGTATAGCTCATTCATTCAGCTTCCATTGGTTAGAAGTTTGTTTTTATCCTTTGATTTTCATCCTTTCTGAATTCTTGTAGTTATGGTTTTATAAGCAATATTTTTAATTTTTTTGGTCAAAATATTTGTCTTTTAATTAGATTACTTAGTGCACTTGCATTTAATGTAATTATTGACATATTTGGAGTCAAATCTTAGTATTTCTTTTTTTTTCCTTATTTCCACAATCGCCTTCTTTGGGAGTAATCAATTATCATATAATTCCATTTTCCCTTCTATTAATATATCATTTATAGTTTCTTTTTCTTTATTGATTACTGTAGAAATTACATTATTCATCCTTGCATTGAAAGTGTCTAGTATAAGGGCTAGGGGTATACTTTAGTGGTAGAGCACTTCCCTAATATGCACAAGATCCTGGGTTTGATCTCCAGCACAACACACACACACACACACATACAAAAGTGTCTAATACAAATAAGGATTTTTACCACTTTCAGGACAATGAAAGAAACCAAGACTATTTTAACTCTATTTATTCATTCTCTAATATTTGTAGTATTTTATCATGTTTTAAAAGAAGACATTTTGTTTTATATAATCTGTACATTTAGATTTGACCATGTTTCCTTTCTTACTTCTCTATATCTTTTTCTGCATCTCTGTGTAGTTATTTTTTGTGTTCAAGACTTCCCTTTCAGGCTGGGGATGTGGCTCAAGTGGTAGTGTGCCTGCCTGGCATGCGCGAGGCACTGGGTTCGATCCACAACACCACATAAAAATAAAATAAAATATTGTGTTCACCTAAAACTAAAAAATAAATATTTTTTTAAAAAGACTTCTCTTTAGTTTACTTTAAGTTCTTTACTGGCAATGGATTCTTTCAAGTTTTCTTTGTATTATACTATCTTTTTCACATTAGACTTTGAAGGATATTTTTGCTCAGCTGCTAGGTTGTCAGTTATTTCTTTCAGCACTTGCAGCTGTCATTCCATTGTATTCTGACTTTCATTTATATTGCAAAGTCAGTTATTAGTCTTATTTTTGTTTCTTTGAAGTTTATGTATTTGTTTCTTGTCATATTTTAGAATTCTTTTTCCTTTAATTTTTAGCAATTTTACTATAATAAACTGAGTGTAGTTTTCTTTGTATTTACCCTTTTTTTTTTTGGTTCACCAAGTTTCTTAAATCTGTGTCTTGGTGTCTTTCATCAATTTTGAATATTTCTCAGCAATTATTTCTTCAAATACTAATTTTGCCCTACTTTTTCTCACTCTCTCCTTCTGGAACTTCCAATTACATATGTGTATATAACTTTTTACTCTATCTCATGTCTCATATTCTTTTCTGTATTTTATATTCTTGTTTCTCTATGCTTCAGGCTGTTTTTTGGCAACCTATCTTTAAGTTCAATAATTTTATCTCCTGCTTCTACTCTACCATTTAAACCCATCAATAACAGAAAAATTATATTTTTCAGATTTAGATTTTCATTTGATTGTTTTGATTCCTTTTCACTCATAAATAGTATAACTATAGTAAAGTTATTACAAGCATGTATTCAGTATTTTAATCATGTGTCTCTCCTATTTCTTTTTAAATCCTGATTTGATCATTTGGGCCTTTGTCTTGGTGTTCCTGTTCACTTTTTATTGCATGAAAAAGTTTAAGAATAATTTGAAACGGTATACTTTACTCCTGAGGGATAAAATACAGACAGACCACCTCAATCCAGTCTGAGAGTGAGCTGACAATTCAAGGATATGCATTTCCCAAAAGTTCCCAGGCAATGCTGCTGCTGCTGACCTAGAGACCATAAATTGAAAGCCACTAGTCTAGGATATTTTCCAGTGTCATTCCTTCTTAGGAGATAATCTATCCCAATTTTTGTGCCCCCAGCCCCATAAGATTGCCAAAAGCGCTGCTCAGCTCAGCAGTGTCTTTCTGCCAGACTTTTTATGCTCTTAGTTTGGCACTATGTAAAAATGAGCTAATTCTTCAAAGTGAAAAGCAGAGAACAATGTTGGGCTCTAAGATCTTGTCTATTTGAGTCCTTTTCTGTCTCAATTATTCTTTTTAACTCCTTCAAATTTATTTTTTTTAAATCTTAGTATGAATGATGGTGTAGTCTAAGCCAGACCATCAGAGATAGAAATGATAAACATATATAATGTCAACCATTATTTAGTATCATAATAAAACAGTTCCACTAAGAATATAGTTCCCAAATATTGCATCAAAATCATTTGAGGCACCTATTTCTAGTCCTACCCAAGGTCTGCTGAATCTGAATTCCTCAGAAAGTGTCAATAGCATTTCTGATGCATATACATATTTTGGAACTAAATAACCATATTTGAAAGTAAAACTCCCCCCTCCATGCTTGAAAATAACAGATATGCATATTAAAATTTTTTGTCCAGTCTTTGTAATTCTTAAACTCCTATGCACTTGGTCTATAATAATCAGGTTAATACAGCTTTGAAAATGAGTTGACTTGTTCACCCCACCTTCCCATGCTATCTCCCATATTTCTTTAAAGAAAGAGAATGCAAATTGTTTTATGTGCTGGTTGAATGACTAACAAAATTTATGTGTTTTGATAAAATTGAAAGCATCTCAGGACACCTCTCCCATCTCCAAACAAACCAATCTGATTTCTCCACCATCTTTGAGACTAAAGGCCATGAAATGTTTACTGGGTGCTCTGCAGGGTTTTCTAAGATTCACAGCTTTGTTTTCCAAGTTACAAAAATAATAGTCTAATTATGATGCAGAGGAAAATTTTAAAGTAGCGTGAGTTATACATAGTCATAGAACAGGTATGGCCCTGTAACAAAGTACCCACAAACAGGATAAAATATCTGTGACTCAACACTTGCTGATATTCCTTTATTTTTCAGACAGCACCAGTTGCCCTCGAAGCAGAAAACAGAGGTGAAATGAAGCTAGCTCTCCAGTATGTTCCAGAGCCAACCCCTGGTTTGTACTGATTTTCTATTCAGAGCCATGCTCTTTGCTTATCCCTTATCTCTCCAAGGATTTATTCTGTTATATTTTCAAAGATGAAGCTCTAAAAAAAATTACTAAGTCAATAAATGTATAAACCAAATGAATCAATTCTCTGTTGTAAACTAGATAATTCATTTTTTATTGTTGTGGCAAAAAAATCATATAACATCTTAACCATTTTTGAGCACATCACTCAGTGATGTTAAGTATATTTACCACTTTGTGAAACAGATCTCCAGAACTTTTTCATTTTGCTACTCTGAAACCCCACTTTTCCCCTATGTCAGTGCTGTTTTCTATTTCTATGAGAAATTCTAATTTTTTCAGTCCATTTTTCAATTCTTATTTTAAGTTTCCCTTCACTCTTCAAAAAGCTTTATCTTCACCGTGTGAATGACCATTCCTTTATTCATAATTTGGGCCTCATGATAATGCTGTGATAAGAATGGAACTTGAGTATGCTTTTTCACAGGTAGGAATTGGAAGAATTCATAGAAAGTCCTTAAGAAATCAGAGCTCACTGGTCTTCCATTTTCAGTCTTATTCACTTTTTTTTCTCAAGATTACTAATCACATCCTTGACATTAGGGCCTCAGGTCTTCAGTTCAGTTTAGGAGTTAAAAAACTGGAAGGAACTAAATGCCAGGTCCTATCCCCACCCTGTTTCCCAAGAAAGTTCCCCAGGGGGTTATCCTTAAGAGTCTGTAGGAATGTTATGGTTGAAACTAGTGGTTACAGATTCAAATGTTTTCAGTAACAAGGTAGTAAAGTTAGTGATATGAAAGAAATAATGGAGGTGAGGGCAGTGGCTGAACTAGAAAAGGTATTCTAATTAAGTTTAAAAAAAAATCAGAGGGCAAGCAGGGCACATCTTTAGGCCAGAATCCTGCCAGACATCATCTTGTAACTTCTGGATCTTCCTAAAAGGCAGATTTTTTTTTTTTTTTGCATATGATTTGTATCCTGTCAACATGCATAGAAATGCTAACTTCATTGCTCGTTTTCCCCTCTGTCTCTTTGTGGTGTGGACCAGGAGAATGGAATGTTGTGGTGGGCTCTACTTTGTCTGAGTCTCCCTTATGTAGGTTTTCTTCCCTGGGATGACTTCCTATTCTCCTCAACCTATCCAAGCCTTAGATGAAGTCCCATCTCCTCCCTAATGCTTTTGCAGACTATATTAGCCTTCATTGACCACATTATTTTCTAGAATATTGCAATAATAACTTGGCATTTCACTTTACATTGCATTTTATAGTTTTATTTGAACTAATCTCTCCTGCTTAACATTTAATCTATACTCCAAGGGTATAAATTATTTCTTGTATATCTAATGACATTCCAATCACAGAGATGAACATATTATAGATGATCATTAAGTACTGTTTGGTTTACTGATTGAGCTACACGATCCTGATATTGTTCCTCCATCCATGTGTACCCCATCTAGACAGCAACTTCAGACTAAACCAGCTTATTGGCAATTATCCATAATATTAGCTAGTATGTATGCATGTGCAATATCCCTATAAAATACAAACAAACACTTTCAACAAGAAAAATGGCTATAACTTAGCTAGAACCTGTTTGGTTACTTCATACTCAGATACATTTAAATTTCCTTCTATCAGCACCAATTGATAATGGTGTTAATATTTGAAAGGATTATGTATTTCATTGAGATATTTTTAATATAGCCATAAATGGATAACTCATATTCCTAATATCTGATCTTGTCAAACCAAGCAAAACTCTCCAAAAAAGGATGAAATACTGTGTACTTAGAATAAATATGATTTTTTTTCTTTTTTTTTTAATTTTTTATTGTTGGTTGTTCAAAACCTTACAAATTTCTTGACATATCATATTCCACACTTTGATTCAAGTGGGTTATGAACTCCCGATTTTTTTTTATTCTTATAAATTATTTTTATGGAGTTCTCTGAGTTTAGTGCAGCTGGACTATGAAAGATAGAGTTAGGCATATATAGGTTTTGTCAATTTGATACCATCAAGCACTAGCTAGTAGCTAGTATTCCTGTGCTAGACCATTTTCGGGCTGATACCTTTGGATGCAATGTTGCCAAAAGAGAAATGTAAAACTTTTTTCTATTTGTTCTCTACAGGTAAAAAGCTTCCTACAACTGGCGAAGTGCACATCTGGGTGAAGGAATGCCTTGATCTGCCACCACTAAGGGGAAGTCATCTAAATTCTTTTGTTAAATGGTAACAGCATTAATGACTCAGTCGTCTTCAGTTCTTCTATAGACTAGCCTTTGCTGGCTGGTTTCAGTTTTCTGTATCTGTGATGTTTAAATTCATCAATTATAGTTTAAATGAATTTACCTGGTATAATGGTGATTTAAACTAGAGGAATCTGTAACATGAACTTCCAAATCTTCATTTAGTTTTAAAATCATAAAACTAAGAGGTCATACGTACAAATAAAACTAGAGACCTCAAGCTCAGCTAAGCAACATCTTCTAGAGGTATAACTGTTGGTGAGGGCAATGATTAATACAAAATAATTTATCAAATTTCTAATGGTGGGATGTCATTCTCCTTGACTTCTTTGTAAGCAGGAAGCATTCCTCCTTTCCTTTGTCCCCATGTTTTTGATCCATTTGCAAAGGACTCTTGTATCAGACTGCAGATATTTGGAAAATAATTTGCTAAGCAACCCCCTACTAAGAGTTAGCTCATAGAGCTTAAAACTGTTTGGGCTTTTAAAGAGTAAACTTTTTTCTCTGTTATGTGTAAAAAGTGACTGGAACCTAGTAAGTAATAACTGAATAGGTATTATGATGATCTAACTCTCTCTAATTTTATCTATATAGAGTCTATTAGAAGACAAATTGTAGCTATTTAAATATATGTGACATAGTTTTAGGTATTTATGACTTTATCATCTTCCTGTGTATACTCTTCATAGTTATTCACAGTTATTCACTGGTAAGAGTTTTCAGCTCAGGTCAATCTCCCATTGTGAGACCACTTTCAGATCTTCTTGCCTTAACAAGAAGCATTATGCATTAAATTCCTTCAATTATTACCATAAGTAAGACATAAGTAATTGAAAAAAAAAAACATTTTTTTTTATTCCCAAGGTCAACCTAGCAAGTTGATTTCTTTTTTTCAAACGTGTATAAGAGTAAGTCTTTATGCCACCATAAAGCACTGGGATAGACCATGCTTCTAAAATTTAAGAAATCCTCAAGCATTTGCTACTGTATAAAGCACTTACTTACCACAGACACTGAACTAAGCATTTTGCATGTTTTATTTAATTCTAAGATCAACCTTATGAAGTCAGCAACACCATTCCCACTTTGTAAACCAGAAACAAGTGTCTGAGAGGTAAAGCAACTTCCCCTAGAATGAACAGCAAATAGGTGGCAGAGTCAAGATTCAAACCAGGTCTGGGCAACTTTGTCCAGGTCTTTGCAGCATAATGTATCTTCTCCTACCCTCCCCCAAACCACCAACACTCTCTCCATACCTTTTCCTCCATTGCTGACCTTTAGTAGCTGTGCTGAAGTATATTGAAGTGTTCACTGTTACACTCTTATTAAAATGCTCTCACAACAATGCCTCTTTTTAAAATTTTTTTGTAGTACCATCCTTCCAGACACAAGTAGAAAAAGTCGCCAGAAGACAAGAGCTGTAGGGAAAACCACCAACCCCATCTTCAACCATACCATGGTATACGATGGGTTCAGGCCTGAAGATCTGATGGAAGCCTGTGTAGAGCTCACTGTCTGGGACCATTACAAATTAACCAACCAGTTTTTGGGAGGTCTTCGGATTGGCTTTGGAACAGGTAATGTTTCTTACATTTTAAATTCTCCGTGAACCAAATTCCCCTGGAGACACTAGAGGGTTGTTTGTTGCTTTGCTTCTTCCTAGTGAAAATAAATATCCTGTCTCCATAAAGTTTAATGAAATGAATGAGTGAAGGGATGTCAGGCTGTATGCCAATGGCTTTCAGTATGAGAAATAACAGGGTGTCCTGTCTGTTGATACAGAGCTTAATTTATTGTTGGTGGGAAGGGTATGGGGAACAGAAATGTCTATATCACTCTTCTACCTTGAAAAAATATTTATGGTCCTTTGAGACTAAAGGTGTGTTTTTAATAATAGCAACTAACATTTATAGAGCACTAGTCACTGTATTCAATGCTTTATTTGCATTATTAATTCATTTAATCCTCATAATAGTTCTATGAGGTTATTAATAATATACTTCTCAAAAGAACCGATATTCCAAGAAATTAAGTAACAGAGCTAATAAGGGACAGAGCCAAAATTCAAAATTGAGTCTGCTAGGTGCCAAAGCCTAACCACACTTGCAGAATCCTCCAAACCCCTCTCTGCTGCTGACAAATTGTTATCTGTTTTATATTCATATGAAGAGAAGTACTTGGTCTGAGAATGATCTCAAAAATGGGGTCTACTCAGATGGTCAAATAGTTCTTTTTTATGTGATGTCCCAGATCTGCTTTCTGGTTATATTAAAACTCTTTATAGATGTCTTCTATTAGTGCTTATAGTTAGGGAATAACAACACCGCTCTCCCCCCCCAATACCATTTCCCCAATGGGCTATTCCATTCTAAATGCAAAGTCCCCCCAACACATACCTTCTTTTTTTTTAATTGTTAAATCAGGTAAAAGCTATGGGACTGAAGTGGATTGGATGGATTCTACTTCAGAGGAGGTTGCTCTCTGGGAGAAGATGGTGAATTCCCCCAACACTTGGATTGAAGCAACACTGCCCCTCAGAATGCTTTTGATTGCCAAGATTTCCAAATAAGCCCAGAGCCTACTGCTCCTCTGCTGAAAACTACTACAGAGGTCAAATTGGATCTTGAAAATCTGACTACATGGACAAAGATTCTCGCTTCCTTCTGTTGCCACCAATAAAGACTACACAGCATGTTGAAGTCATCTGCATGTGTTTCTTGGATTACAAGGGCCCAAGGGACTTAAATACTGACAAGATATGTGACTTACTTGTGACTCCAACATTAAAGGAGATACCTGAGCAAGTTAGAAAAATTGAACTGTTGCTGCTGCTTCAAAGATTTTTCTGCCAAAAATTATTTCATTAGGAGTATTTTTAACCAACAGAGTGTTCTGGTTTCACACCACATTTGTGTTATGGTTAAACCTGCCACTTGATTATCACAAACCCCTGCAAGTACTGGTACTTGTAAATAGGTAGATTGTAGAAAAAAGTAACAAAAATACTCCTGGGGTAGCCTTGGAGAGGAGCAACATCGGTTATGACAAAGAATTACACAATAAGATAACTATTTACCCTGTAATCTCTAATAATCTGGAATTCCATGTTAGGGCAATAAGAAGAACATGACTGAGCACATTTCTACCTTGAGAAACTGCTTTTTCTTTCCCCCAGTCTCAAGTGTACTTTGGTGCCACCCACTGGCCATAAGTGGAATTCAGCTCTTGGTTTATTTTGGCTTAATTTGAAAGTAGGTCTCAAGTCTGTATTTTGTAATAGAATATGTTTTAAAAAACTTTGCCTATATATGATTGCTTTTCCCATAACTTTATTATATTAAAGCAGTATAATGGTAGCCACAGATGTGCTTTGCAACAAAGTTTTAATTAGAATATAAATTGTTGAATTTTATTGTATTTCCTATATATGTATAATTTTCATAAAATATTTTGTAAAAACCCTTAGAATAAATTATCATATGATTTACATTGTGTTGGCAAATTAGCCTGGCTTTGTACTTTAAATGAAACCCTTTATAAGTAGGAATCATAAAATCTAAATTGCCAAAAAAGTCTTATGAACTTGGGCTAATATTATTTCAGTCTTCACTGTAACTTTTGGCATTATTTCCCCCAAGCAGACAGATAATATAGGTTAATATTTATTCTTAAAAATTTTTTCTCCAGAGAACTCTTGGGATGATTTTAGTACATGAAATGTTACTCCTCCTTAGGACTCAACTAATTTGCTTTTCTCAAAACAAGTGCCGATTTAATGTAGGTTTGATGAAGCCTAGGTAATAAATGAGTATGGGGTCTTACAACAGGTATCTAGTAAATGTTATCAAAACCTCTAACTGCTCACCTCCTTGCCCAAACAGATACTAGATGGCCTTGTGTCCACTTGTCAGTAAGAGACTTACCTAGGACAACACCCCTTCCACTGTCTCTCTAGGTCTTTTCTGGGAGTATTTAACTCTATTCTCTTTGACCTTAAAGAAGGGAAAGATGAGTTAAGTAGAGCTCAGCCTGGAATGCAGTAACCAGCAGTGTAAATCCCATCCTGGCTTGTCCATGTCACAGAGTGGACAAGCTCTTCTTTCTGTTACATGTTCAACTACCTCCTAGCATCCAGCCAACTCTGGGGCACTAATGCGATAGGTTCTGGTATGCACTGACCTAGGATCAGGATTGCCTGCATCTTCCCATGCTCAGATCCCTCACCTCCCAAACACTGGGGTGGGCAATAGAACCACCCACGTGTCTTGCATCTATCCACAGGGGGTTTCACACATTTTCTTCTGGAAAGGAAAATACAAATTATAAATTTGATCTTATCTTACCACAGAAGAAGGCTAAGTGTGAGCTTCATGTATTTTAAAATGTAAGCAGCCTGAAATCTTCTGTAAAATCAGGTGGAAGGGTTTTTTTGAGCCAGTGTGACTCTTAGGTAAAGACTTGCTGATCTTTCAAAGCATGCTTCCTGAAACTGGAGGCATTTCCCTGAACTGCATGTTTTAGGGCCTTTTAAATCCCACCCCACCCCCCCACCCCACCCCCGAAACCTAACTGGAAAAAAGCCCAACAGGGGGATTTATTGGACAGACACTGGGTTAGCTCATGGAATTAAGCAACTGCTTCAGAAACCTAGGTTAATTTGGGGACTTGCAGACTGAAAGTAGGAACTCAGATGCTATCTTTTCTCTCTCAAGGAGTGGGAAATAGCACCTCAGGTAGCCCCAGCATCACAACCTCCCAGTTAGATTACTTGTCCTTCTTAGGTTCTATTTGAGAAATCTCTGAGAGAAACTGGCCAGGTTTGCATCACATTCCCACCATGGAACCATTCACTGTGGTCAGGAGTAGAGGCAGTAAGGTTTCATAATTAACCTGTCTTCAGTAATGTGCCTACCCTGTGGCCTTGGGGAAATGGTCCCTAGTTAGAAGAATAGAGTGTTGTTTAAACATGGATGGTAGAGAAATGAAGAGTAGGGCATTCATGCCACTTTTGTCTCAAAAACATTTCAAAAATTTTAAATGAAGTAGTACATCTAAGAATCTTCTCTGGTGACTCCTTCCAGAGAGGCCTAAATTCCCCCATCCACCATGTCTACTACAACTTCTAAGGAAGTAGTAGTAATCCTGAGGACCCCATGGCCTGCTCACATGACCTAAGAGTCCACCAAAAGCATGATTACTATTAACCTACCACTCTTCCATTCTCCCAACCTATGGTTCCCAGATAATGTGCTTGGTCTTCTTTTTACATATCCCTGTCATTCATACTTACCATCAAATAAGAAGTTCCTGAACATCTGCTTTCACTAGCATTCTCATTCCCATTCTGCTTTGGGATCGCTCTCCTATCTCCTCTCCTGTCTCCACTCCCTCCCAGGCTTATGCACTAATTTCTTTCCTTTATTTCATAAAACAAACTGTGTCCCCACACACTTAATCGAATTACAGAACATTCCTTCTGATTCTTTGGCTAATTTGTTCCAGAAAACTAGTTTTCCTTTAGCTTCATGAAGAGAAGACTCTCCCATATCCAGTACCTCAGCTAGCATGTAGGATCTGATTTCAGACCTTTGCTTCTTTATCTTCTTTATTTACCTCTTTTTCTAAAAATATGCCATCCAGTTACATCAGGGAATGGAGAGTAATGGTTAAGTAGCTTCCAGAAGAGAGGATTTGGATTTGAATCTCCCGGTTAAACCACTTAGTGGCAGTGTGACCTTGGGCAAATTACCTAACTTCTCCATCTTGTCTGTTTAAGGGGGGATAAAAAAGGAACTTGTATTTATTCTGTAGGCAAAAAATACAAGAATCAAAGTGTTCATGCTCAACAAATAGTTCTCAGAAGAATATTTGCTGTTATCATTATCCCCTTCACTCCCTCTTATGATCATCTACCATCCTTCCAACTAACCTCATTTAGTTGGCTCCACAGAATAGGGAATATGTATCAAACACCCTGGATTCTTAGTACCTTGACCTTGATTTAAATGTCCTTAGCCTCCATTCCCTTTCAGCCACATGTATCTATGAATTTCATAGGTATAGTTCCCTATGACCTGGAAACATTAAATCCAAACATCCCATTCTGACTAAAATCTTCTATACTTTCAGTTCATGATTCTTTAACATCTATTCTTAAAATGCTTCCATAAAGCTGGGCGCAGTGGCACATGCCTGTAATCCCAATGGTTTGGGAGATGGAGACTGAGGAGATCTCAAGTTCAAAACAAGCCTCAGCAAAGTGAGAGGCTAAGCAACTCAGTGAGACCGTGTCTCTAAATAAAATACAAAATAGGGCTGGGGATGTGGCTCAGTGGTCAAGTGTCCCTGAGTTCAATCCCTGGTACCGCCCCTCCCCACCCAAAAAATGCATCCATGATTTCAGTCCCTAAAATCTCTATCAGTTGCTTCCCATTATCATTCCTCTCTCCTGTCAGCCACTTTCTTACCAATAGCCTTAACTTACTCCCATTTCTTTCCACTGAATACCTACTTCCCAGCACTATCACAGATTACAGCCCTGCATAAGTTCAACTGAAACACTCTTCTCTTATGCCCTTAGTTAGAGAAAAATCACACACCCACCCTGCCTGCAATATATATGAGAAACTGACAGAGAAGATAGTGTTGGTAGCTTTACATCTGTAATATTTTGTTTGTTTTTTGAGATCCTATCTAGTTCCTGCCACTCTTACTTTGATTCCATGAGTTTCCTCAATGCTCTGTGAGGCAATAAGTCCCCATTAGCTTGGCCAAACCCAGTTGAGTTTCTGACAAAATAGTCTTGACTAATACTCCCCTCTTCATCAAAGACTGGTTTACACCCTTCCTTCTGTCTACAATATACTTGGTTCTTACCATTATATTCATAAGAGGAGTGATATGTCTGACTTCTCCAAGATTACATTAGCAGTTATCACACTGAATTGCTGATAGTATTTGTGTGTCTCCGTCACTAAGCTGTACTCATCTTGAGAGCTGGAATTGCATAATAGACATAATCATTTCTCAGTACATGTGAGACGAATGAATGAGCAAATGAACAAACGAAGTGTGACTTAAGATTATGGGCTCTGTTATAAAAAGATCTGGATTTGAATCTGTCTTTATTATTCTCTGGGTGATCTGGTGGCAATTTGCTTCACCTCTCTGAGACTTGTTTTTTTTTTTTCCCCTATAAGCTATAAAATATAGACATAAATGCTTGGTTGGCCAGAATATTGTTGGGATTAAAAGAAGATGTTCAAAAGCCCAATACCATGTATTTATTCTATTTAATTTTAGCTCAAAAAGGAAAAAAAATTCCTTTGGGACAAAGTTTACAGTATCATATTAATTTTAAAAAGAAAGACAAACTCTCTCCATGGATAGAAACTCTCTCCATAGATAGATAGAGCTATCAACATTTTAATAAATAAAAACATTCAAATAAAAAAGAGATATTGAAATACTCAACAAAGGCAGGTAGAGGAGACTCATTAGTTTCCATTAGGGAAAGCAATGGTCTGCTTTTATGCTGGACTTTTGAGAAGGGAATATTCTGGAAACTTTCAGAATTGAAGGTATCTGGAAAAAAAATAATTGAACAAATAAAATAATCATGACACAGAGGAGCTAAAGGTGATCATTAAACTTCTTTAAGGAGAATGAAGGTATTTATTTTGTTAAGTATTCTTAGCATCTAGCACTTTATATTGAAAATACTTATTGAATTAAATTAATGAATCTTGTGATATTCTCAGCCTTGATAAGTAATCTGTGGACATAATGTTACTTAAACTAATTTTTATATAAAGAAATATAAACATTTTTTTAAATGTGAAAAAATGATGTCACAGACAAATATTTGCTGAGTGTTCACTGTATGTAAGGAACTTAGAAAGTTAAAAAGGAGGGGGAAAGCATCCAAACTCTCATTCTGAAGAAACAACTACTATTCATATTTTGAGTATTTTTCTGTCTTCTTTTCCTTTTCTTAGGAAATATATTTAAAGAATTCTTTTCATTACACCATACAACTATATATATATATATATATATATATATATATATATATACACACACACACACACACACACACATATACACACACATATATATGTATAACTATATACATAAACTATATTTATATATATAAAGTGATCAACAAATAAAATTTTCAATATATTTAAAATTAGAAAAAGAGCATTGTAATTTTCTAGTTACTTTCCTTTTCCTTAAATATCCTATGTTTGACATTTAAGGAAAAGTGAAAAAGAAATGAATTCTGGTAAGTATAATTCACATTTTTAAATCTTTGGAATCTACTTTCACAAAACTTCAATATCCTATAATGTAAATACTTGTTAAAATTTCAGCTTAGAAAATCTCCTTGCCTTCCTTGTATAGACAAGAAATTCATGATTTGGGAAATGAGACTTAAACTTTAAGACTGAAGGAAAAATCTGGAACTCTTCTTTTGGATCTGTTTTGTTCCCAGTGAGATGTGAAGCATTTTAAAAATCCATCTGACATCTATAATGACACAGGTTTTTCTTTATCATCATGACTTAGGAGATATAAAGTTGGACCCCCAGAAATAGTGATTACAGGGATAGTCAACTGCTTTGTCTATCTTAGCATTAAGATTATTCTAAATAAGTTTTGTTTCTTATTAAAGTTATCTAACATAAATATTTGCTGTGTCATTAAGATTTACCTATAAATGATGTTTAATGGCTATACAATATACTGTTGTATGAACATATCATAATTTTCTTAACATTCCACTCTTTTGGATGTTTAGGTTTCCAGCTTTTAGTTAATGTAAACCATATTGTAATGAAAAGCTTTGAGCAAAATGTTTTCTTTCAGATTATTTTCCTAGCAAAGATTTACCTAAAGGGCAATTTTTAGTTCAAAAGACATAAAAATGTTTTAAGTTCTCAATATATATAGTCAATTGATTTTCACCAACAGCATGTACCTGTCCTTGGTAGTCATAAGGGGAAATTTTTTTTACTAATTTGATAGATTATATGGTATCTAATTTTAACTTGCACTTGTTGGATCATTGTTGAGACTCAGTTCTTGGTCATTTTTATTCCCTTTTTTGTGAATTTAATTATCTATTTCTCTTTTTAACATGTTAATGTTTTATTGGCATTTATAAGCCTTTATAAAAATGTTAATTTCGTCTTACATTTATTAGGGATATTCTCATTCATTCTCTCTCTCTCTCTCTCATTGGAATTCCTTCAGCACACATTTATCTGAGACTCTCCAATGTGCTAGGCACTGATGTAATCATCAAGGAAGAAACACCTGCCATGCTTGATCTCAGAGTCTAATTAGATCATCTCATAGTCTAACGGGGGAGGCAGGCAGGTAAAGCAATGATTGTAATAAATCTTTCACAGGCTGCACTAAGAGTACAAATAAAGCTATAGTGGATATGGTAAAAGAGGTATGTGGACAATTCCACATGTAAGGGCCACAAATCCCTTCCCAGAAAAATGATTCTTAATTAAGTATAATAAGCTTAGTAAATTAGCAGAGTGACAAGCTCCAAAGTGGGACAAGGCATTCCAGACAAAGCAACACCTTTCCACCAGGCCAGAAACCTGGTTGGTATGGGAAACTTCTGTATTTGGATTTGCTATAAAGTAAAATGTCAGGCAAGTTCAGAGGATGAAGGGACTGGAAAAACCTCAGAGGTCACATAATTTTAAAAATTACAAGTAACTACAGATTTTCAATGAAGTCTAATCAAGCTGCTTTCTTCTGTTCTCTTACATAATGTCTAAGAAAGTGCTTCTTGGCCCAAGATTTGATGTTTACCTTTTCTTTTACTAGAAGAAAATACTTTGATTTTACTTTACCTTACATTGGACTATTTAATCCATCTGAAATTGACTTTGATGAATAAGAAAGTAAGCCTCATTTGTATCTCTTTTTTTCTGTTTTAATATGTATCACATCTATTTTCATTAAACTTTTCTGTGACCTTACTTTGCTAATTCAGGGAGTGGTGAATAAAAAAAAATTTATTTTCATATAAGGACAGTGGTAGGTGAAATGATGGAAATTTCACTGGGATTTGCTCGTTCAATATTTAAATATCAAACTGAGTTGGGCCAAACATGAGGGAGCAAACTCCCAGACACTTAGGGACCTGGCTCTCAAGGAGTACTACTGCTACTTTGTGTTCATAAATTACACGTTTTTGAGAAGACAAAAATTACAGAAAGTAATTTATTCTCCTGACAACTGAATGGGGAAGAATGAGAAGGGATAAGATGGTATAAACTTGATTTGTTTACTCCTACTGGAAATCAGGGGGAGTCAGATTTCTTCCCTGGTGTGGGCTAGGAATTGAGTGCAGTTAGCATCTCTCTGGCTGTACAAGCCAGATACTGACTGTGAACTGAGGGATCCTTGGTTAGAAAGCAAGGGTAACTTGACAGATTTGCTTAGGATCCCCTCCCCCCTTTTCCTATTGTTACTTCACAGCATTCTGAAGACCTGCCCACCAATTACAGGACTCTTTACTGGAAAAGTCAGCTGGAGTGCCAAGAGTCCCTAGCAACACCCTGCGGCTTTTGAAATCAGAGTGGGAGAGACTGTGTGGTCAGCTGTTAGTGGAGGAAAGCTTCTATGCCTCAGGAAGAGCAGTCACCTGGGATGGACACTCGACCAGGTGAAGAACCCTTAGATAAGCAAAATGAAAAACAGAAAAAGGAGGAAGAGGAGATGGAGTTTAAGGAACTGGAAGGGCTGAGGGAAGCCTTGGCAAACCTGAGGGGGCTGTCCGAGGAGGAGAAGGGTGAGAAGGCAATGCTTTGCTCCCGTATCCAAGAGCAGTCCCAGCTCATCTGCATTCTGAAGCGGAGGGCCGATGAGGCCCTGGAACGCTGCCAGATCCTGGAGCTGCTCAATTCAGAGCTGGAGGAGAAGAGGATGCAGGAGGCACAAAAGTTGAAAGCCCAAAGTGAGCATGCCCTGAAACTGGAGGACCGTTTCAGGACCTTGGCAGCCAACCACGAGTTGATGATCCGCTTTAAGGATGAATACAAGAGTCAGAACATCAAGCTGAAGGAAGACAATGAGAAGCTGAAACTGGAGAACAGCAATCTCTTCAGCCAGGCTCTGAAGGACAAGGAGGCCAAAGTATTGCAGCTGACCACTAAGAGCGAGGCCCTCACCAAGGAGCTGGAGGCTCTGAAAGAGAGGTGTGCTCAGGATGCCTGCCAGGCACAGGCCCGAGAAAAGGAGCTGTTGGAGCTACAGAGCCAGCAGGATTGCGCCCACAACAAGGAGACAGAGCAGCTGCGCAGCCAGCTGCAGAGCCTCCAGCAGCAGTACCAAGAGGCCATTGAACAGATGGCAAAGGCCCAGGAGACACACAGCAGCCTGAGTCAGGAGCTGCAGGACAGGCTGCAAACCATCACTCAAGAGAAAGAGGAGCTTCTGCAGCTGTCCATGGAGAGGGGCAAGGTGCTTCAGAACAAACAGGCAGAGATCCGGCAGCTTGAGGAGAAGTTGGAGGCAGCAGATACGGCTAGGAGGCATGCGCTAGAGCGCTTTGAGCAAGAGGCAGTGGCTGTAGACAGCAACTTGAGAGTCCGGGAACTTCAGCGCAGAGTGGATGGGATCCAAAAGGCCTATGATGAACTCAAGCTTCAGTCAGAAGCCTTCAAAAAGCACAGCCTGGATCTTTTAAGCAAGGAGAGAGAACTCAATGCCAAACTCCGCCATCTCTTTCCATAAGGAAGCTTCTGCTGCTTCTTGTCTTCGATTAATAATTTAAATATTTGTGCCTTAACATTATGGCAAGAGCAAAGATGATACTCCATTTATTATACTTTCAAGCACAAAAGGCAATTTAAAGAAAACCCGCTTGACTATAACATTGCTGTTGTTACTACTGTAAAGCTAACACTAATTTTCAGTTCTACCATCTAGAATACACAAGACTTAGAGTTCCTTCTGTGCCCTTGAAGTCTTCCTAAATTTGCCATCAGTAACTCCCCCATTGCATAACTTATTCATTCTCAATCTCAGATGTCTTCATATATCCTGAGATTCTAAATTAGCAGCTTCTATGATTCAAGTGTATCTAAAATGTACAATAAGATGTGCACAGTTAGTAACTGTAGATGGGTAGGCTTATTGTCTCACATAGTTAAGATTGCAAGCAAACATATTAGCATAATAGCATGAATACATTGCAGAGAAAAGAGCTATTTATTTTGCATTAGCTCAGCAAACAAAAATTTAGAAAAGTAATTTATTTACCAAAATAGGCCACCTTTATTATAGTCATTCTATATGAGCAATAAGATTCAAATGAGTTAAATCAATTTTATTTTTCCTTAAAGCTTGGATCTCATCCCATTTTCTTAGTTTTCTCCTTAATAAAAACAGGATTTGGATGTTCAATAATGCAAATATCAATAGTTTCATTTAATATTGTGTAATATGTTAATAGATAAAAGGCCTCAATTGGGGGTAACAAGTCATAGCAGACCATTAAAGACTTATATAGTAACTCATAGGTATTGCTTTCTGTTTCTATTAGTATATTTTCCTGTAATTAATTTTTTCCTCTTTTAAAAAATAACCTAAGATGAATGCATATATGTATTCTTAGGCATTTTTGTAGGACTACCTCATTATAAAAACACAGTAGTTATCGTTTATATTTATGTGATGTTCTGAAAATTCTTAAGGGTAATTGTTTAAATATACTTTTTATTTCCTTATTTTCCTAAATTTAGTTATTGATCTATAAACTTTATTATGACTACTTCTCAAAATAGATTATAATATAGTATTTTTCTTGCCCAGTTGATACCAAGAATACCAGTTTTACATAAATTAAATTTACTCAAAAAATATTAAGTGGGGAAATCTTTATCTCCCCACTTCCATTATGTTTGTGAGAAACGTTCTCACCTGTCCAAACCTAGTGCCTTTTTAACAACAACAAAAAAAAGTGCATGCATTTTTTTAAACCTATGGTATCATACTAAGACTATGCTATTAAATATAAAATTTTCTCATCAAAATAGAAATCCCTTTTTGCTTCAAAGAACATTCCTCTTATAGTTTAGAACAAATCACAATGTGGAAAATAATTTAGATGTGCTTATCATTTATTGAGCCCACACTATCATTTGCTGAAGCAATTCAGATAAATTGTTTTGTTTAATCTTTAGGGGTATTCAAGAAGATAGGTTCATTCCTGTCTCAAAGAGGAGGAGCTGGCTTTCAGTAATTTGCTTAAGATGACTTTTTCACTGAAGGATCTGGGATTTCCAACTGAAATTATTCAGTGTGAGGTTATCTTTCACATTGAAAGATATTGATTATTGGCACTCTGAGTAGGACTGAGTATAAGCCGAAAGAAGCGTTGCTTGCCTTGGAAGAGCCCCCAAGGCTAAGTCTAGGGGCAAAACCCCACAAACCATTATAGACAATGTGATGTGGCTTTATATGTGGTGCTATGAGGCCACCAGCGGAAACACACTGGGCCTCTAGTGCCACCTGGGGATAAGGGTTAAGAAGAGAAGGCTGCCAGGGATGACTAACATGAAGGAAATTTTTAAAATGCCAAGAATACTTGGAGAAATTATAAGTAGTTGAGAGGAGGTACAGATACAATTGGAAAAGTAGATTGAGGCCAGAATATAGGGGGTCTTTGAAAGCCAGGCTGGCCCCTTATATAGCTGGGGGAGTTTTGCAGGTGGAGGTGAGCAAGGAAGAGAGGAGAGATGCAAGCCAACAAATGGAAACCTCAGACCCAGTCCTCTTCACACCCCTTGTGTGTAGTTATGACATTACCATCCTCCCTCCCTCCCACTCCTCCTCCTACTCTACCATTTTAGGTGGACAGGTGTTCCTGAAGAAGCCTGGAGGTGGGTAGGTAAGGGGTAGGTGCATGTCCCCTAAGACGTGTAGACATAAGGGAAAAAGGACCCTGTTGCTCAAGTCTAAGAACAATACTGCTTGAAGCCACACTAAGTGGGGCTGGGTTGTAGCTTAGTGGTAGAGCACTCGCCAAGCATGTGTGAGGCACTGGGTTCAATTCTCAGAACCTCATATAAGTAAATAAAAATGAAGGTCCATTGACAACTAAAATTTTAAAAAGTCATGCTAAGGAGTTTGTATAAGTTGAACTGTATAAAATTGATCCTAAATGGTCATATACAGGCCATTTTTTAAGGCTCACTATAATTTTGAAAGACTTTTGAATGGAAAGTGGAAAATGAGAAGGTCAAAGCAGAGTGCCTTGAGAGCAGGAGGGAAGAGTTCACAACATAGACTAAGAACGTAAGAGGAATGGACACCTTTCGCATGTCAAGTGCTTTTAATTTTATTCCTATGCCACCTTCTCAAGAAAGATTCAATTATTACTATTTTACAGATGAAAAAAGTGAGACTCAGAGAGGGTGTCCAAGGCCAAGCAGCTTTGGAGAAGCAGGAGTGAGATTTGAACTAAAGACCCTCCAGCAGGGTTTCATGGGTGTGTCCCTACACAGGGCCTCCACACTGTCACTCTCATGAAATTCTTAATTTTTTAACAAGGGACCCTCACAGTTTTCATTTTGTGATCAGCATTGCCAATTAAGTAGCTGAGATTTCTTTCTGGCTGTAAAACCCATGCTTTTCCCCACTACACAAACTACCTTCTAAATAACCACAAAAATATTTTTACCTCTGTGCGCTCCGCTTTGCATTCTACCCTCTTAGCAGTCATCTTGTATTTAATCTGTGACCCGGAACCACACTGGATAAGTAACCAGTTTAGCTGGGCTGTGGAATGCTGCTCTATAAAGTGACATTTATCACTTGGATAAACTGACAAAATGTAAATCGGTCCCCTTCAAACTACTCTCTTTGAGAGGAAATTTAAAAAACAAAGACTGAGTGTGGTGGTTTGGTGGCTCAGGCCTATAATCCCAGCAACTAAAGAAGCTGAAGCAGGAGACTGGCAAATTCAAAGCCAGACTGGGCAACAGAGACTCTTTCTCAAAATCATCGAAAGGGTTGGGGTTGTAGCTCAGTGGTAGACCACCTCTGGGTTCAAACCTTAATACTGAAAGAAGAAAAATCTCCTCTCTAAAGCAGACCTATATCTCTAGAGAATTATTCTGCAATACCCACAAGCAGAATCCCTAAAATGAAAGTCAGCAGAACAAAAATTCTAAAACTAAACACTGCATTCAGTAACTAATGTAATCACTTGAAAGATCTTTAAATTAAGATTTTAAGTGTGCCTCTTGAGAAACTGGTCTGCTTCCCTAAAAATTGAGATCTTGAAAGAACTGTAGGAAAAGTGCACCAACTGATGTTTTCAGAGTACTCACTTTGCTTCAGTCAGTGAAAATGAATTCAAGTTAATATGTTTCTAGTAAAGTATTAATAGGAAATCTTTATCTGCCCACTTCCATGATGTTTGTGAGAAACGTTCTCACCTGTCCAAACCCAAAGAATGAACTGAGAGACAAAGGTACAGAGAAAGCAAAGCTTTAATTTAATGACAATCTTGCAAGATCAGAGGAGCAGGCACACCCAGAGCAGTTAAAATCAGTATTTTATCCCCTAATGTGCAAGATCCCTCCCCTAGTTCCTCATTGGATGAGTACCACGGGATGCACAATATTCCTGAAGTTTGCTTACATTTTACTGTCTCCTGTTGGATTATTTGAAGAAATATATTTTAGTTGTTTCCACCTCCCATGGTTCTCCTGTGGCAGGAAAGTTGTCTTGGAGGTGAATGCATTCTTAAGTTACTATTTTGGGGGTGGTGGTGGTGCTGGGGATTGAACCAAGGGCCTTAGTATATACAAGGTAAGCACTCTATCAACTGAGCTACATCCCCAGCCCAAGTTACGCTTTCTTAACAGAGATTTTTTTTCTCTGTTGGTCAGATTCCCCCACCCCCGTCCTGTTTATCAAAGGGTTGTTCAGGGGCATAGAATTTGGATCTGCCACATCCATAGGCTATGGTGCTACTGTGTGAGATAACTACTTGTAACTTTCCATTCTGCTCTATTTCCTCTCCAGCTGACTTTCTTACATCCCAATTTTGCATTTAAGGCTAAATACTGTATTTTGAAAATGGACCACTGGACTTTCTATTTCTCACATATTGCAGTTCAACAATTATTTAAAGAGCATGGGCTGAAGAAGTACCAACACAGGTGCCTGCTGTTCTATCCAGCCCTCTTTGACCCAGATTCCTGTGGATTAGCTGTGACTAGGTCAGTGCAGGTATGATTCTCTGCTCCCCATTGCAAAAGAATGAGCAGAAATTCGAAATCCCACCTCTTGGCCCATGAATAAAGAAAAGAGAACCATAGCTCTAACTGCTCTCCTCAAAGCTAATCCTGCCCAACTGGATGGCTTGTCTTCCAGTATAAATTAGCTGAATTTGGGTCATCTGGAAATACCTCAGCCAAGGATCTTAATAGGGCATGTGGCCGTGATTAATTTAGACCGAACGAGGATGGGAATGAGGCCAGTCTATGCTATGTAATGGAAGGGGATACCTGAGAAAGGCAGGGACTTCCAGTAGAGATGAATAGGGATGAATGCTTGGTAGGCCACCAACAATGTCTGCTGTACTACATCCACTTAGATGGTCAGATCCTTATCAAGCATAGTGTGTGTTTTTATTTTAAAAAATACTTTTAATTTTAGATGGAAACAATAACTTTATTTTTTAATGTGGTGCTGAGGATCCAACCCAGTGCCTTACATGTGCTAGGCAAACACTCTACCACTAAGCCACAACCCCAGCCCTGTTTTTTTATCTTTAATCATAAGTCTTGAAAAAATTATAAGAATTTGAGGGAGAGGCCAATAATAGACTTTTCTAATCATGGTCTATTTTCCCAAGG